TCCGTCCCTATGCTATTAAAACAACGCAACGGATTTTGCAGCGGTTTTTTTTTAATAAATAAAGTGATTTAAGAGGACGGGTTATATGTATAATACATGTACACGCGGTCGAAGCCGGTGCGAGTATATAATAAAATACTTAATAGAAAGTATAGTGTAAATATGAACTATAAAACTATATGGCCAGTACGTCAGCATCAAAAATATTTATATGTTTTAATACAAATGTATCATTTTATACAAACCCATGAACAACAATAGTTATGAACTGATATAAATACTATTAAAATGACAAAATATATCAGTTTTTATCAAAAGATAATATGTTTTTAAAATATTTGTGTAATTTTTTCATAATTATAATAATAATAATTCTAAGTGTTAAAAAATGACAACACTAATGCAAATACTAAAACATTGTAAACTAGTTTAGAAAAACAGTCATAAGTTCTAAAAAAATTGCTTTAGTAAAATTCGCACTGCGTATTAGACCTTATACAGTAGTAGGTACTTTCTAATATATACGAACAAGATAAGAACTGTCTTAAGCTGGATTGAATAATTATAATTTTTAAATTTTAATAATAGACAATTTAATTTAATTTTAAAAATTATATGCAATATAATTGTCTATCGTTAAAATTTACAAATACTACTTACTAATCTCTTAAAAAATTAGAAGTATATTTAGATTAAACTAAATATTAATTACTATATAGTAACAATAAAATATTTCTACCTAAACGTAATTAAATATGGACGTAGAAAGTTATATGTATAGGTATATTTTTATTTGTAAATGTCTATTAAAAAAAACTTACCCTTTAGAGCTTTTTCGCCTTCTAGTCCCCTAATAAAAAGTTTATAAAAATAACTAATAACGACTACTCCGACAAATAAAGCAATTATGAACATATACTTAAAGGCACATCACCACAACACTAAAAATCACAACCCTAGTTTTATAAAAAAAAATATTAAAAACGTATAAAAGGCCGTCTTCGCGCCAAACGTTTGACAACGACTGTCATACCCGATGATCGATGCAAATAAATCATTCAATTTTAAAATTAGAGTTCGCTTCGGTTCAGTTAGCGGTAGCCGTAATCGCACTATCACTTCGCGATTACAATTACAGTTCAAAATATCACAATCTCATTGCAATAAATACCTATTCACTTTATTTATGGCTTATAAAAACGCATAATATGACTTATTTGATTCAACAATGCACATACGTAAATAAAAATAAACAAAAACAGTGAAAATTGGTATTTTTTTCTATAACTCGCGAATTTGTCCTTGCATTGAATTCAGGCGTAATAATGCGACGACAATAGCGTGAGTGCTTTATTTAGCACCACGCGCTAAATGAAGCGCTTTTTGTTAAGTTGTACGGGTTATCGTACGACTGATCCCTGTGAACTTGCTTTTCGATAAAATCTATATTATATCACGCGTGAACTATAGTGAGACCACAGTTTATGAGTCAATATATAGAGTGAATGTGAATATTTCGTTGCTATGATGGATACGATTCATAACTGATATTACAATTTAACATACAAGTGTCAGGTATCATTCACGCATCATGCCATCTAATGATGCGGGTAGATAAATAATTAATGTATAATGATTAATTATATCGGTCATAATAATATTTATATGATTAAACTGTCAAATTATTCAATAATATTTCTAACACATTCAAAGAGGTTACAAGGTATGAAGGTTTATATTGGCTGATGATTACCATTTGAGGATGATAGGATGAATACGAGTTCAGGTCTCTTAGCCCATCATGACGAATTCACCTTCCTAACCTAACCACGATGGTGTCCAGGGGTGACCGCTTGGAGGTCGACCTAACATGGTAAATGATTAGCAATGGGGTTACTATTCCCCATTACTAATAATCTCTCCCCCCCTGTACAGTTTACGTGTAACCTAGCAGTCTTACCTATTTCAGTAAGTAGTTTCGGTTATACGCTGAGAAAAGACAGTGAAATCCCAGAATGCATGACATCTTAGTTCTCCGATATTGCAACGCATTAGCAGTAATATGTAATACTAGCTTTTGCCCGCGGTTTCGCTCGCGTTAATTTATCCTCTTAGAGGTGGAATTTATCAAAGTCTCAGCTCGATCGGTTTAAAATTGACAAAGTTTCATACAATCTTTCATCCCCTATTTTATCCCCTTGGGGGTAGAATTAATCAAAATCCTTTCTTAGCGGACGCCTACGTCATAACATCTACCTGCATGCCAAATTTCAGCCCGATCCGTCCAGTGGTTTGAGCTGTGCGTTGATAGATCACTATATCCCATGATGAACGGGGTACCAGTGGAGGATGATAAGATGATCACGAGTTCAGGACAGTAAGTCCATCGTCACAAATTCACCAGGAACTTATCACAACGGTTTCCAGGGGGACCGTGTAAAGGCTAACCTGAATCTACTGGCGGTTCAGCAGAGAATTATATTTACGAAGTCAATTAGTACATCATCGTAGCAAATTAACTTCTAATTACAAATAGTAGATCTCTTGGGCTAGGACTTTTTTAAATAATAATACCTATTCCCGGATATTAAATTCCAAACTCGTTACCCTAATTACTTATTCTTATTTACTACGGACTACAAGAGTACTTTATAACACTAATGGCACTAATTTTATCTTAGTTTCTTAAGGGTCGGCAACGCGCACGTGACACCCCTGATGTCTCAGGCGTACTTACATAGGCTACGGTACCATCAGAGTAGCCGTATGCTTGTTTGCTACCCTCGTATTATATAAAAAAAGCACACATTTATTCATTTACTTGTAAATATTATCTGTTAAAAATCATCACATTAATAAATAAACACTATTTATATTTATTTAAGGTAAAGAGAAAAGTATATAACATGTGTATTCTACCATGTTTACTATACGGATGTCAAACCTGGGCGTTGACAGAAAAATTATCAAATAAGATAAAAATTTGTCAAAATAATATGGAGAGAAGTATAATAGGGGTAAAAAGAAAAGACAGCATAAAACTAAAAACAATTAAACATAAAACAAATTTCAAAAATGCATATAAAACTTATAAACAGCTAAAGTGGAGATGGATAGGTCACATGATAAGAGAAAAGGAAGAGAAATGGACAAGAATAACAACAGAATGGTATCCACGAGACGGTAAAAGAAATAGAGGTAGACAGAAAGTAAGATGGGAAGATGATATCAGGAAAATAGCCGGTCCAATATGGACTCGTAAAGCAAAGGACAGGACAGAATGGAAATCTTTAGAGGAGGCCTATGTCGGAAGACAAGCTGTACCGTTTAACGATAATAATATTAACCAAATGTAAAAATATTAGTATAGCAATAAAGGCTTTTTATTTTATTTATTTATATTTATTTATTTTCCGAAAAAACTAAGAAAACTTTAAAAAAAATTATATTAGGTAACTATACCTAATATAATTGTAACAAAAAAAACAAACATTTATATTAATGTCGTTTGTTGATTTGTATAATATTCTGTACTGTAGGTATATTCTTTTGTAAGGAAGGTGGAGGTGAAAGAAACAGTCAACAATCAACATATCTACAAGTAAATTGTAAGAATATTTACAGATACGGCTGTGTGAATTCATAACATAATTGTGATACAAAACAAAATTAAAATAGCAGTAAAGAAAGTATTCAACCTGCAATTACATCCTTGTTGAATCTTGAGTATTTATTTTTCTCCTCCTCCTCCATCTTTGGCTTTGCCTTCGCATTTAGCCAATATCAAAGTCAGGGAAATATACACAGAAATATACGGAATAGAACGGAATTTTGTAGGATAAAGGATTGGTCAGGTTTATGATGTTTACAATGTATATATATTATATATATGAATCTTGAGTATTATATACTTTGATGAGTAGTATGCTCCTCGATTGTAAGAATAAAATTATACCCGGCAACGGTGTTGCCACGCGCTATCAGTAGATTTGCCACATATCTCGCGAACGACCTTTATCCGACATTTCTAAACAATTATCTCATACGATGAGATTTCAAATCACAAAAGACCGTCTTTTCGCGGTTCACAATTTTATGTAAATAAAATATTATTTTTGATGTACATGTGAGGTATACTTTATACAGAGTAGTTTGCAGATACCTTTGTCGTAGGCATTTCATTTCATACAAATCTATAACCGAATCGCAACTTATAAAGCAAGCTGATTGGTGGCTGAAATTGGTGACACTGATTTACCCCACACAGACAATATATAAAATCGACTTCTGCTGAATTTGCGGTTTGACTATTAAGATTTGGAATTGATTTTAGGAACTTAACGCAAACTCCTATATTATGTTGATAAGGTAATAGTAATTTGTAAAAATAAAACCCAAAAATATTGCTAATTTATTGAATATCGCTGGGAGGTCGTAATTATGACATCATTATCAAAAGGATTGTTATTTTATATGAAACATTTGAAAATTCAAGTGTCAGGTTAAGTTATACCGTTTGCAATTCAAAATGCGATAAGTACTAAGTATGAAATCGGAAGTATAAAATCCAGTTATCGGTTTGAAGAAGAGATATGCCAGTAAAATTATAGGTTACTGAGTTATTACAATTTAGTCCTCCGGAATTTTATATGTATATTGCAATATCATTATGGTCAGCATAATGATATTGTCAATATTTATGCAATCGGGATGGGCAATAATATCCATTAATTTGGTTTTAAATTACAATAATTTGTCTTAGTTTATTATACTACAAGTAGCCTAGCTAGCCTAAGTAAGTATGTAATCACTGTAATAAATTTTTTGTACGAATAGTAACGTTAAAATGGGAGATATTGATGTTACTTATGGCAACATTCGCGCTTCGTCTGATTGATTGAATGATGTCATAATGTTTGACGTATAGACTGACATATACACGAAATGTCACGAGTGTCCAAAAAAAATTAAAAAAGTTGACATATTAAGAACAAGTCAAAGATTCGTCATATATGCCAATTAAATTTGCAATTTATAGACTGCTGTGAATAAAACGAAAGCAATATAATAAATTTAACTGTGTCTTTAATGGATTGTTCTTCATAAACCATAATTTGACGTAGACGAGATGATTATAGAAAATCCAGACGTATTTAAATCGTGGTTGACGTCCATATTGGAACCCCTGTGAGTACGCACGCAGCCATTTTAATTTACTGTAGAATAGCACATACTTATATTTAAACATTCTCGAAAATTCTACATTGACCTAAAATAAACAAGTAATCGACCTAATTTCATGTCACAGTCCCTAAAATATATTATTTTGAATGAATATATTCCTCCAAGTGTCGATATGGCTTTACGTTGCTACACAAATACATATTTTTTCATTTTTTGACATTGTGTTCACATGTTGATGATTTTATGTAATATTAAAATACATTAATTTATTCTTACTTCTATTAATTATATTGTTATTCATTTTGCTCATTTTGTGGATAGATATGTTTACACTGTACCAAAACAGAATATAGCTCAAAAACATGTTATTGCTTTTGCCGTACTATAGTCAAATTCATATAAATCTTATCAAGAGAGCATATTTTTTAAGCTATTCAATGAAATATGTACATTAATAAGCAAATTATTGATAACATTTCAAATTATTTATCATTATCGTCATTAATACATTAAAATATTTAATAAAATTGAAATTATTCATATTCCCTTGGCCACCAATGACTTTTGTTGTTAATAAGTACATAATTCATTTCATGTTTACAATAATTTGATAACCTCAAATGTCCATATGCTTCCAGTCATCTACACATCTATACTATATAAATAAAATTGGAGTGTCTGTTTGTAATATTGAAATAAGTTTTTACTACGGGCATATGAATATAAATATGGTACATACACCAAATTAACATTTTTTTAAATTTTTGACTGTCTGTCTGTTTGTTCTGGCTAATCTTAGAAAAGGCGGGACCGATAATGACGGGACTTTTTTTGGGCCGGTAGCTGTAACTTAGGCTACTTTTAGATTAGAAAAATTCTTTTAATTCAGAAAAATAAAGTTAAATTCCATGTGGATGAATTTGTGTGTACAGCTAATCTTATATATGTTTATAAAGTGAATTGTAACTATGACAGGTTATGAGAAGTTTATTCTTTAGTTCTATATATTTCATTAATTGGTTTGTGCAACAAATGAAAGTAAAATACAATTACTAAACCATCAATTCAATTTTTTTTATGAATGGTAATGTATTGACACATGCTGCTGTCCAAATAAGCAGTAGAATAGAAAAATCACTATTCTGAAGTATTTATATCAAATAAACTTATTATTTGAATAAATATTTCGATTTCTATTAATTTCATGTAAATTATCAGGACAACTGACCAAATTTCAAGCCCACACTATCACCCTTCTGTAGACCCCACCAGCATGAACATGCTGGTACATGCACCTAGACAATCCATTACATTATTACTCATTAAAAAGCACCCTAAGTATTGAAACCTTCAAGAAAAGAGTTAATCCTTTTTAAAAGGCTGACAACGTGCTTGTAATTCCCCTGGTGTTGCGGGTGCTCATGGGCGGCGGTAATCACTTACCATCAGGTGAGCCGCATGCTCGTTTGTCCCCTGTGTTATAAAAAAAAAACACTTCCCAATTAATTAAAGTACGATTATTAATTCCAGTCACTAAAATGACATTTCCAGTGTTGCAGGTTTATAGTCCCAAATAAATAGTGATGTGGTTGAATCGAGTTTTTCTAATTAAAAGTTAGTCGAGATTACATTTTTTTTATTCAAATCAAATTGCCATTATATAGATACAGTATGTAATTTACGGTAATTAAACAGAAGACATACAGGGTAAGTAATTAAATCTTATATATAAAATTCTTGTGTCACAATGTTGGTTACCATACTTCTCTGAAACGGCTTGACTGATTTTTATGAAAGTTTAGCATATTCAGTAGGTCTGAGAGTCGACTACTAAATATTTTTCATACCCCTAAGTGATAAGGGTTGTCCACCCCTAACATTATTTTTGGGCAAATTTTTTTTATTATGAGTCTTTAAAAAATACATACACCCTAAATTTTCACCCTTCTATCACCAACCCCTATTTTTTTTATAGTGTTATTAATTTATTTGGCAAATAAATGTTTGCCGGGACAGTATTATTACATAAAATACTGTTATATTATTTGTTTTTGGTTATTAATAATAATAATAATAATAATTTATTTATTTGCCTGCTACATGGTAATTTTGATCTTACAATATAATATAAGTACACGACATGCAGCACCCCGTAGAGGTATGCAAATATTGAAATTGATATCATAATTACAATATGTCATTAAATTTAATTAAAACATAATAGGTACCACAATAAAATAATAAATGTCACAGTATTCCACTAATGTCAATCAATATTATTAAAATATAATTACATGAAGTCAGAGTTCCTATGGAAACACTATCGTCATCACTTGTCACTCTATGGACGCCATTACTAATAAAAACTTTAAATTAGTATAAAATTATTTGTATTTTCCCGACTTTCTAGTGTTAATTCCTCTGAATCTCTTTATACATTTTATTTCCCAGCTTTTGTAATAATGTTGTAGTGAAAAATTTTAAGATGCTGGTAAGGTCCATATTTCTAAAATCCTACTATTTAATATGGTATGTATTAAATATTTAGAATAAAAAAAAGACACTTTGATACCTAATAAAATAAAGCATGACTAAATGTCTAAGTCTATTGATTGCCAAACACCACTATTGTAGCGGGTCACCCCTTTTTTGTATCAGTGACAGTTGCACTTCTCATTTTACTGACTGTGTTGTAACTGGGTAATCAGATAATTATGTATTTTATATTCTAAATTTTTATTTGAATTTATAGTTCTTTTATATTACATTCTTGTTTTTGATACTTCAATTCCTTTTTTTCTATTATATTTAATTGTCAGTAGTCTAAATTAATATATATTTTTCTCCATTTACCTAGTCTTTTTTCTTATTAATACATGATTAAAATATACACCACAACCACATGTTACACCATCAGGTACACACACAATGAATACCCACAGGAATTGAAGTAACAAAACAAGAATCTACAAAAGGAACTATAAATTTTAAATATAAAACATTTCTTCATTAGCCAGTTACAATAGACTGGAATTAATAATCATACTTTAGTATATTCCATACCACCTGTACACCTTTTCCGACTTTCCTTTTAAGCTTGTCAATTTGTTTTTACATATACTGTGGAAGATATAAACACAGATTAGCCGGCCATAAGAACCAGTTAGCTTCAAAACTACTGGATATAAATAACTGTCCATCTAGATTAAAAAGAGCTCGCCTTGCCAACATCTAAAGAAAGTAAATGAGATAGCACCTTACTGGAGGTGCCTCATCTCAAAAAGCCAATAACTTCAAAAAATCTGATTATAGCCGGAAGGGCTGATCGCAGATAGAGAGAAAAAAAAAATGTTTTTACATGATTAATGTCTTCAAATAATTATACAAAATATTCATAGAATGTTACATTCATTTGCATAATTGTTCATTACAAAATGTTAATTAATCAGGCAACAGTTGATATTTATAATGATAAATTAATTTAGAAAGATAAGCAGTTATCATACTAATCATCATGTTTTGGTCTAATCTAAATGATCTATTACATATGTAGACAAAGAATCATAATCATTTTATAAATGCTACCCTTAATAAAACTACATAATGAAATCTATGTAGTTTTCCACAATTAAAATGTTTTTCACTTTCTATGATATGTGATGATGATTAATAGAATTAGAAATAATCTTTCTTTAAATAAACTCAATACAAGTACTTTTGAATAGGCCTAAATTTTATTCTACATCTCATTCGGAATACAGATTCATCACAAGAAGAATAAGCGAGAAACTTGTGTATTGCTCTTTTAAATAAATGTTTTTATAATATAAATAATTATACAATAATAAGTAAGAGGCATGCAATAATCAACATAAAAAGTGCTACGCACTCATTCTTAGTGTGTAGCGGTTTCTATATTGATTAATAAGAATATTCCTAAAAAGAAAAATATAAAATAAGGCTATTTCATGTTTCTATGATTGTTTCGTCTTTATCTTATCAAAAAATAAAATAAATTTTATTAATAGAAATTTTATCAATGTGTAAGTCAGTTTGTATTGATTTGAAAGTACTATATAAAAACTATAACCATATGAAAATACATTATTTTCATGCGGTTTTTATATATCAACAGTTATTACCGAGTAAACTGGGTGTATAATTCATTAAAGTTTTATGTAACTAAAGCGAGATCCCCCCCCCCCCTTCCATCAAAACACGTGTAATTTTTTTAGAATGTTACCTTTAAATGCATAGGTATATACACTACTACACTCCCCCTCCCCCTTGTGATATTTTCGTGTTTTTTGCCTACCCTTTCAAGAATCATGTGATTAATGGACAATTTTTGACCTTTGATTGGCCTCCCCAACATTCTTAATGGTTCCGAAGACCAGTAGGTCTTTCATCTAACCATGCAGAGGAAATCACGAGCACATAATATGGCTGCTAGTATAAATAATAAATTTAGTAATTCGACCTCCCCATTACTTTAAAAATAATTTTAAATACCAAGGGACTGAGTCTATTTTTGTCCACTACGTGTGTTATGAAATGATCACACAAGTTGTACTAATTTTAACACGGAATTTATAATACAAACATTCATACTTATTAATACTAATGATTACACCGTGGGAATGGAAAGGAATCGAACTCGCGACCATAGATGTAAAGCGGCGTGCTAAACCACTAGACCACCGAGACCTATATTTATATATTTTATTTTAAATCATTGCTATCTTAACATACAGATATAATATATACGGCCTACAAAATATTACATAAAGTTACTAAGTAACTAAACAAGATACATGTCACAATAGACATCGTTATCATATTGATAAGATACGTCAACACGTGGACTGTAGTTGATAAATAGTTGCATGATCATATTACTTAGAATTTTTTTTTTATTTATAGGTTTATTTAAACCTTCATCAGTGTACAGTTTGATGCAGTCCTGACTCCCAAACTAGCGTGAGCTATATCTTATATATAAAATTCTCGTGTCACAGTTTCCGAAACGGCTTGACCGATTCTCATGAAATTTTGTGAGCGTATTGAGTTGGTCTGAGAATCGGCCAACATCTATTTTTCATATCTCTAAATGTTAGGGGTAGTCCACCCCTAAATTTTATTTTTTACAAACTTTTTAGTTTCTATTTTTTTATGATACAACATACAAAAATACATACAATCCTAAATTTTCACCCTTCAATCATCAACCCCTATTTTTTTATAGCGTTATTAATATATATGGCAAAACAACGTTTGCTGGGACAGCTAGTATTATATATATATCTGGAGTCAATTCCTTCCCAAAAAATTGATGTCTATTTCTATTCATAAAATAATGCTCGCCATCAAAGAATGAATTTTTTGTACATTTTTATAGATCATAACACATTTACGGTCACAGTGGTTTAGTGGTGTAGCACACCGCCTTATTTCCGATAGTCGCAGGTTCGATTCCTCGCACGACACAAACATTTGTATTCATGAGTATGGTCGTTGGTATAGGTCTGGGTGTTTTATATGTATAATATGTATTTACGAAAAAAAACTTTGTATTTGTAACACTTATCTAGTACCCCATAACACAAATTTTAGCTAGCTTAACTTGGGTCTAGATGGCGCTGTGTGAATTGTTCTGAGATTATTATTATTATTGGTGTTGCATATAGCAAACAATACAGTGAGGTGCTGCCTTTTTTTTTGCGAATGGGCGGTACACACATTACGTTTTTTTTTACCATATTGTATTTTGTAAACTGACCAATGTTACTTTTTATTTTTGTCTTTCATATTACTGTGCCTTTGTATGTATGTAATAACGCAAATAAAAGCTTGATCTATCTATCAAAATTACAAATTCAAAAATTATTTATTCATTTAGGACAATTTTGCCGCTTGTGAACGTCAAAATTTTTATATCGTGTCAAATGCAGCGTAGATGGCGCTGTGTGAATTGTCCTGAGATATTATTTTGTTGTTCACAGATGCGATGCGGACCCCGCGGCTCTCGCGAAATATGTGTACGCCCTCGTTAAGAAAGACAAGCCGCTGGACGAGCTGCGCGACGGGATGCTGGACCAGCTCGACGTGTTCCTGCAGCATGGTAAGTTTTTTTTTTATTTTCTACCGAGTTCTGGATAGATGAAGGTTCCAAATCATAGTTCAGATATATGAACAGTGTGTACTACGGCCAAGCACTGTAAGTACTCACCATCGAGTGAAACGTTAGCCTCTTTACATTATTTAAATGTATAAGTCATGTAACAGTCAACCCTGAAAAAAAGAAATGCTTAGTATACTATTAGGCTATATACTATTCTAACTACCCGACTCATTAAGCCCAATTTACACTCAGCCCGAGTGGGCAGGGAAGTGAGCTGCGCGAGAGTGTAAACACAATACTTCCCATGCCTTTGGCGCTGCCACTCGCGCTGCCCGGCGCTCCCTCGATTGTCAGTTTTTCGTGCGCGAGTCTAAGGACTGGCAACGCGAGTGGCAGTGTGTGTTTACATTCAGCCCTCTCGCTCAGTTTTCGGCAATATTTCCTGCAGCGCGAGTGGCAGGGGAAGCGGCTGAATGTGAACGTAGCATTAGACATCCTGACTCCACTTTTTTGATGAACTTTTTTTCCTTTCATAAGAACCTTCTTGTAACAGTATCAAACACGACAAAAAATAATCAGCGTGATAGTGAATGAAGAATCAGTGATCAATGGAAATAAGGTTTAATTATATAATGCTAGCTACTCGCCCCAATTTCGCACGGGTGTACATATATTATATATATAAACTATCCCCTTGAATCACTCTCTATTAAAAATAAAAAAAATGTTTCAAAATCCGTAGCGTAGTTTTAAAGATTTAGCATACTTAGGTACGGACGGACAGCGACTTTGTTTTATACTATGTAATCATGTGTAACTAAATAAGATATGTTTCTGAACCTGAAAATTTCAAAAGTTTAACATTAATGTATATTTACTCTTGTTAACAGAAACGAAACCGTTCGTGGATATGTTGTTCAAGTCCCTGGATAGCCATGAGTACTTGAAACCGATTGAGAAGCGGCCTTCGCCGCCGCCCGGGGCGCCCGAGCCGGACCGGGAAGCCGACGCTGAGAATCACCGTAAGTCAAAAACTGTATTGTCAGGGTAAAAAGGCTAAAATAGCTTTCAGTAATAGAGCTGCCTTATTATAATAATAATAATAATAATCTCTTTATTGTGCAAATAGAAGAAATACAATAAGAAAAAAACAATAAATAGAATATCTTGAACAAAAAGCGGTCGCTATAAGTAATTTCTTACAGACAACCTGCAAATAGGACTAACGTACACAGAAGAGGTAGATAGCACACACAAGACACTATAATTATCAAACGAATTAATAGACATACATATATATATATAAATATACATATACATATACTACATATTTGAAGATTTCAGAGTTAAATAGGAAAAAATGAGCTATAGGGACAGATAATGAGATCTTAGACGATTTTTAAGTATTGTATGAGATTGAGCGGATCGAATGGAGAGTGGTAGAGAGTTCCAAAGGCGAATGGCTTGGACAGTGAAAGAGTTGGAATAATATGTGGAGGAGTGAGCAGGGATCGTCAGACAAAGGCTTCTGGTGCTACGCAAAGCAGAACCCGGGGATTTAGTGTGAAATAAAGAGTTTTTAGATATTCTGGAGTAGAGGGATGGAAAAGAACGTTGTAAAGAAGAAATAGTATGTGAAAATTATATTATGAATGTGAAAGTAGAGATGTTTGTTACGCTTTTCACGCAGCCCCGAACGGTACATCGGAGGAGGCGACCGCCGTGGTGGCCCCCGCGCCGGGCGCCGCCCCCCGCCACCGCGTGGTGGTGTCCCGCAAGCCGTCGCTGTCGGGGCCCACGCCCGCGCCCCCCGCCCCCGCCGCCGCCGCCGCCCCCGCCGGGCCCACCGCGCGGCCCCCGCCCCACGAACACACGCTCGTCAAGGTGAACTTTTACTTCTTGTATATTTTATTTTAATAATTAATGAATAATATGATTTATATGCAAAGGTATCGCTTTATACAACTATATATTTTTTTCATTTATTTATAATCTGTATTTCACCAGATACAGAAAATAAATAAAATATTTAGTTTATATATGGTAAACGGGTACAAGCACTATCTTATCGCTAAGCAATCACTTCCAGATTACCTGTCAGTAGAGAAAGTAAATATAGGAAAAGTGGCGCTTGCTCATTAGAACATAAATATATATAACTAACTGTACCCACGACCTCGTCCGCGTGGAATTATACTTTATTTTTCTAAAATAAAGTAATGTTTCTAAAATAAAAGTAGCCTAAGTTACTACTTATTACATTAGTTACCTGCCAAAAAAAGTCCCGTCAAAATCGGCCCACCCATTTCAGAGATTAGTCGGAACAAACAGGCAGACAGACAACAATTTAAAAAAATATATTTATATTCATATGCATTCCATTCCCACTCCAATTTTATTTATATGTAAGGTAAAAATATTTTTTTATTTTCGTCACAGGTATTACCATTGACTGAATTACTAAAAGAGCCAGTTGATCAACCACCCAGAAGAAGAGATAGACGTGGAGACTCTGTGAGTATACTTTCTTAAACTATTTAATTAATTAAACATACAGAGCGGTAGATTAAAAAAAAATATAATGACTATTCAAAAGTGCTTCAATATAAGTTTATTTGAATAAATGATTTTCTATTCTATTCTAAACAAGTCTTCAGCACTGTGCTTTAAATGGCGCATACAATTCGAAAATATCTTTAAAAATACAGCCCAGGAACAAAATAGAAATGGAACATTCCAGACATATAATTTATACGAAGCACACTGTACATAGCAGTGTATATATTAAAACAACTGTTATTTTCAGTTGCGCGACGCAGAAGCACGACGAAGGAGACGATCTGTGTCATGGGAGAGGAGACGTGCGCGTCGGCACGACGAGAGACATGACCACGTGCGCAGGTAAATAGTGGAAAAACTACTAGTGTCGTCTCCTAAGGAAGCAAGTCGTATGCAGTCGTGGTATAAGCTAGCGCGACCTTATGTGGTTTTTCTACAAAAGAAATATATAAAAAATGTTTCCCTTTGCAATTTAAAAAAAAAAACAAAAAAAGAAAGGGTCGGCAACGCGTATGTGACACCCCTGGTGTTTCAGGCGTCCATAGGCTACGGTAACCGTTTACCATCAGATGGGCCGTATGCTTGTTTGCCACCTAAGTGGTATAAAAAAAAAAATTAAAATTGGAATATTTTGCCACATCTTGAGTATTGAAATACGTTAGAAAGGATCTCCTTAAACCTACACCCTGCTCACAAGTCCCGGGAACTGCTCTGACTTCCCTCTGCCACACCATGGACCCGGCTCCCGCACGGTGAATCCGTGTAATGCTAAGAATTGCGTTTCAAAAGTGTAGATAGTAGTAGAGTAGTTGTCAAGTACTCATGTAGTGGGTTTGAATATAAACTATGTTATTTTATGTAATACTAGCTGTTCTCGCGACTTCGTCCGCGTGGAATTTAACTTTATTTTTCTAAAATAAAAGAATTTTTCAAACATAAAAGTCCCGTTAAAATCGGTCCAGCCATTTCAGAGATTAGCCGGAACAAACAGATTGATAGACAGACAGACAAAAATTATAATAAAAAATATTTTGGTATATGTACCGTATATATATTCATATGCCAGTAGTAAAAAACGGTTATTTCAATATTACATACAGACACTCCAATTTTATTTATATGTGTAGATTAAATATAAATTGCGTGATTCGTCATTCAGGAACTGGTGCTACTTTTCTTTTTGAACAAGCACGCACAATATTTATGCTACTTGATAGTTTGTATTTATACAAAATTTTTAAAAATGTTAAAATAATCAATAATTTTTAAAAGAGTAATAACGATTCATATTTATTTGATTGTACATCTACTTGTAATTATTTTAATTTGCACAATGATCTCTCTATATATCGAGACAGTGTGTATATATGGGTATGTGTATAAATTAGTACTGGTTGGTAATTTGTATTCACACGTTTCGACTTGTAAATGTAAATTTACAAGGTTTATTTAAAAGAGCAATACAACAGTTTCATGCTCGCTCTTCTTGTGTTGCTCTCTTCTGCTTTCCGAACGAGCGGTTGATAAAAAAATGTTATGACTATTTAAAAGTGGTTAAATTAAGTTTATTTGAATAAATGTTTTTGTATTGTATTGTATTGTATGTGGGTGTGCAGACGTGCGTCGCCGCGGTCGCCGTCCCCCCGCGGCCGCTACCGCAACCGCAGCCCGCCCGCCGCCGGGCCCGACCGCCTCGACCGCCCCGACCGACCCGACCGACCCGATCGACCCGATCGACCCGATCGCCTCGACCGGCTCGACCGCATCGACCGCCTCGACCGGCTCAACAGCAGATCCAGGTCTGTTATAGTTTTATTTTGACAAAAAAATCGACGTACCATCCTACCGTGTAAATATAAATATTGTAAATATTTGGTTTTGGTTGGTTTGGTTTCTTAAAAAATTACTGACATTAAAATATGTATCTCAAAACTCAATATTTTTTATTGAGTTTCTAAAAACTTAACATAATACAATTCACACAAACATAATACAATTCACACAATGTCTCCGTTTTTTTACTTGGAGAAAATCCCTCATGGAGACCCGCCTATCCCGGGGAAGGTAAGGGAATTGTGAGACTCCTCCTCATTTAAAAAAAACTCCAATGCCGACAAAGCGTCTGTTGCCGATGTCACGGGATAGCAATGTCTGTCCACCGCGTCTTCAGCGCCATCGTCCCGCTGTAATGTGCGAGCTTCGCTTTTTGTTTTGGAGGGTCAACCCCCACTCTGAGAAGGCGCCACCTTCTTGTACTTATCTTGGAGATGCGTCCACCCCCGCGGTTACCTCAGGCTCTTACACAATGACCCCTAGTGCCAAAAAAAGCAGAATTTATCCTAGTGGTACTTAGGAAATAACCTATACATTATACATATCCATTATAACCGATTCATACAAATGATTGTATCATCTAAGAATCGTATTCTCTCGTTAATTATCGCATTATATACATAAATACATTTTTTTTTATAAATAGGTACATAATATATATACACTGCCAAACCGATGCATGAATACAAAGGTTTGTACCGAATGTACCGTACGAGAAATCAAACCCATACACTAAATCGGTGTGCTAATCCGCTAGACCATCTACGTCGTATAGTATAATATAATTTTTGGTACAGATCAAAGTCGCCAATAAGGAGTCGCGATCACGAGCGAGATCGCGACAGACTGCGCGTGACGCGCGAGATGGACCGCGACCGGATGTCGCGCGACAGGGACCACCGCGAGCGACTCTCGCGCGACAGAGAGCGCGACAGGTGAGTGCAGATCGCGATCACGACCGACACCGCGACAGGGACTTCACTTTTAAAGTTTAATTTCAAAGATGTTGTTCCAGTATTGTATTTCATCTGTAATACATATATTAAATTTAACTGCTCATAATAATAAAACATACTAGCATCTTCAATCAACCTGACATAGTGTGGCATTTGTAACGGCGTCGAAATATAAGCAATTATATAGATATATCTTTATATAACTTTTAGGCCTACACACAATGTACAGTAATATAAAGAAAAATACACCCAACCAATAGGTCAGTTAACAAAATACAATATAATTACAAAAAATATGTGAGTAACGTATGCGTATGTGTGCATCGCAAAAAAGGCAGCATCTCAGTATTGTTTATTCGAGCAGCAAACCACTTTCATGTAATGTATATATTTAAATTTTTGTTTATATTTTCCCACAGGTCCCGGGAGCGGTCGCTTGAGAGGTCCCGAGGGTCCCTGTCGCCGCGCCTCGAGCCGCGCCCAGACCTCGACCCCTACAAACGACGCTGTAGAGACTATGACGGTCAGTACCACTTCTATCTCTCTCACACTCGTCAAACGACGCTGTAGAGACTATGATGGTCAGTACCACTTCTATCTCTCTCACACTCACGACATTCGTGAAAATAACCACGAGTACGGAGTTTCTATATCAAGAAGATTTAGTATTTAATCAATCTTTTTAATACTTTCCTGGTGTTGAAACATACTTGGTATCGAGTCGGCACAAATCTGTATTGACAAATGAACACAAACTTCAGATTAGATGCTGTATCTGATAACGAATTGATGAAGATCTGATGACCTAAAAAAAGGGTCATTCAAAACGGCCAGCACACACGCGGACACAGCTAGTCATTAATAAATTAAGTCCTTCATTTTTGCAATATTAATTTATACTTATATTCTATGTATTTGTTTAATAGAAAAAGGATACTGCATGCGCGGTGATCTGTGCCAGTGGGATCACGGGAGCGACCCCGTAGTACTGCAGGACGTGCTCGCCGCTCCCCCGCCTGTTCCAGGTATACCTAAAAAATACAGTTTATTACTTAACGTTTTACCTGATGGCTCATAAATTGTCTATGGATATGAACAGTACGAAGGCACCACATCATCTCTCGTGATGTCATGATACATCTGCTTAGTTGCTACAATATATCTGTAGAATATAGCATAGTAAATTAGTAAGCAGGTAAATGTACATCTAGCGATTCACTTGGCTCTAAATAGAGTATTCCTGATGATCATGACCCTCAGTCTTGAGGAATCGACAAAGACGAAAACCCTGTAATTTGAGTGCCATATATGCGTATATTTTCTCAAAACAGATCATAGCTTTAAGAAAGCTGCTTGATGGCTGAAATTGATAGTCGCAAAAACTATTGTGTTCGCACGCACACTGCTAGGTATAGCAGTTTTAGTATAAGTAGGTTTTCAACAAATGATCCGGCTCGAAGGACTGTTTGTTGGGATCTAACTCCTTGGAGATGAAACAAAATTCTGTGAACTGTGAAAATGTAATATATTTATTAACTGTGACAATATTTAAAATAATGCGTTACAAATAGAAGGGATTTGTTCATACGCGCTTACACCGTACAGTGGTAAGTAAAGGTAAAACGGAGCGCCATGCCCGGTTACAAAAGGCATAAGGCCTTGAGCAACCCCTTGTGAGCCCCCGCCATGTCGTTTGCGCGAACTATTGTAAAATTTGATGATTTCATAATTTTATTTGCATTGTATTGAGAATAGGGAAATTCAAGTAACGTATTTGTTTTCCAGAGTATAACCCGCTGACGCCGGACATATGGGGCGGCGCGGCGGGCGCGGTGGGGGGCTTCCCCCCCTACCCCCCGCACCCCCCGCACGCGCTCCACCTCCACCCCCCCAGGGAACTCATATCCATACCCAGGTATACACCTGCCACTACATACTGTTCATACCACATGTCTAAATACATGTATTACTAGAGTGCAATCGATCGTCCAAAGTGTAATGGCCAAGTAGTTTACCGGCTTGAATTAGGGTCGTAAATTAATATTAAATCTGGCCGACACAAATAAATATAATGTGTGCTTAAATTTATATTTCTGTTGGTTTTTACGATGAAGAAAACAACCGCAGCAGTTTGGAATTCAAATACATTGAGCGAAATTTATAAGGTTATGTGTCATGTCACCATGATGTCGATAATTGATAATACTCATAAATATCTCATACGGGAGAACAGCCAAACAAACTTTACAAATATTAGGAAATCTACTTTAAAACTACTAAGGGCGATTTTCTGTGTAATTAATGTTAATGCATTTATTATGAATCCTGTTATTGTTTTCAACATTTGTAAAATATAAATATATATAATGTTTGTTGGTTGTCAGGATCCGACACGAGCCGGTCGGGCCGGCCCCCCCGCGGCTGCCTGCTCCCAAGCAACGGTCCTTCGACTACAACCGTCTGGGTACGTAACTAAGCATTGAAAATGCTTGGTAATGCATTTAATTCATTCATTCATAATTTTTCAGCAGTGGACGTCTTCCGGGCTGAGATGATGATTCATAATTTAAGAGTTACTCTTTTGTCGGTGGAGCTCTTGCTACTTTCCACGGTCTTCCATCATGCTCTTTAAATGTTGCGAGACGACTCCTGTTTTGTTTTTAATTTGCTTGATGTAGGCGTTAGATTCTCCTCTCTTTCCTTCTATTCTTCCGTTAATAGTACTCTCTTGTCAGTGGAGCTTATGAGACACAGTTACCTAATCATATTTTATACATCAAAATAATAATTGCATTTAATAATGCCTAGTAAGACAAATCCAATATTGTCTATTAAGCACTGCTGTGTCTAAACTGTGTCACCCCACCTTACATTTTCCTATTGTTATATAGTATATAAGATCAATATTTCTATGTACATATTGTCAGTCAATTATCATCTGTAATATACATCGTCTCTACCAACAACATCGTATTATTATCCCGAAACATAAGTCATTATATATGTGGACTCAATATAATAACAATATAGTGCAAAAATAAAACCCTCATATTATAGAGAACTGATTTAATTCTATAGTTTGTAATGTAAATAAATGTGTGATCATGGAGATATCTATAATACATTCTGATTGGCGCAATATATTGTCTATATCGGATTTGTCTATTAGCTATTATTAAATGTAATTATTATTTTGATGTATCTAGGTAACTGTGTCCCATAACTTGCTATGGTCGCGGTTTTGATTCTTTGCACAGTATACACATTTGTATAAACGTTTGTATCGGTCTGGATGTTTTCTATGTATATTATGTAGACATTTATAAAAAAATATATGTACATATATATGTATTCATATTACCCATATAACAAGATCCGCTTTTCATGAAATTAGATGGTGCTGTATTAATCGTCCTGAAATTTTATTGTTAATTATGCCATAGACAATTTTGGGGAGAGGCCTTTATTCAGCAGGTGATGTCTTCCGGCCTGAAATACAACAATATAATGGAAATCGTATACATTATATAAGTAGAATCTTTACCACAGACGTTAAAAACAGTGTAAAACATGATTTTTTCTTAATAGGTGCTCCTCGACCGCCGCCGCTGGCTGCCAACGCCATCAACTGCTCTCTAGAAGTGAAGAAGGTCCCGCGAGGCATGAACGACATCTCGCATCTCAACAACCATTTCTCTAAGTTTGGAAAGATCGTTAACATTCAGGTAATCTTTATTATTACATAGTATAAAACAAAGTCGCTGTCGCTGTCGTAGTTTTAAAAATTTAAGCATACATAGGGATGTATGCTTAAATCTTTAAAACTACGCAACGCATTTTGAAGCGATTTTTTTAATAGATAGAGTGATCGAAGAGGAAGGTTTATAAGTATAGTACATGTACACCCGTGCGAAGACGGGGTGGGTAGCTAGTCTTATATAAAAAAAAATTCGTATCACATGTTATTTACCAATATTCCTTCGAAACGGCTTGACCGATTTTTATGAAATTTCGTATGCATGTTCAGTAGATCTGAGAATCTGCTGCTATCTATTTTTCATACTCCTATGTGATAAGGGTTGACCACCCTTGACATTTATTTTTTATTTTTGGACAATATTATTTATTATGTGGCATTAAAAAATACATATGACCCTAATGTTTCACCCTTATACCATCAACCACTATTATTTAATAGCGATTTTTGTTAACTGACCGATGTATTTGTATATTTACCTTTTTTTTTATCTTTATCACAGTATTTTGTGGTGCCCCTTAATGGAAAATAAAAGTTTTATCTATCTATAACAGGTGAGTTACGAGGGTGACCCCGAGGCGGCCCTGATCACGTTCTCCAATCCCACTGAGGCCAACATAGCGTACAAAAGTACAGAAGCAGTGCTCAACAACAGGTTCATCAAGGTCTTCTGGCACAACCCTGAGGTTAGTCATACTTTTTGTATCTGTAGAAAGACTGTACAAAGTGTAAATAATAAATAATAAAAATAACCCTGGACGATTAACACAGCGTCATCTAGTTCCACAGTAAGCAGAGCTTGTGTTATGGGTACTAAACAATTGATATAAATACTTAGATATATTTTTTGTAAATACATACATAATATACACAGAAAACACCCAGAATCGGTCTGGGTGTTTTCTGTGTACCATCATACTCATGAATAAAAAGATGCCGTTTCTGTGGCTAAGGTTCTTGAATAAAATAATATTGCGACTATAAATTTTGATGTAAGCTATTCTTTCTATCTTACAAGTTGGATCAAATTGCACACAATGTGCAAATCTAATTTGCAATAGGTTCAGTAGTTTATGAATCCATCGCGGACTAGCAACGTGAAACATATTTTTTTTATATATAAAGAATATTTAAGTTTCCTAGTGAACAATTTTTGTACACGCTTACAGTAATACACAGTCATTTAAATTCAGATTTGGGAGAATAGAGTGACCACCAGCATTTGCTATTGCAAAAAACAAAGAATCTAATCAGTGTTCGCATGATTCATTTTCAAAAGTCATATAAATTCTTATATTTTTTAGATTAAGCAAGATAACTCGAACCACGTGGGCGGTCAACAGAAAAACATGCAAATAGACAGACAGAACCCTCACCATGTGATGTCACACAACAAGGTGTTCATCAACCGGGAGAATATCAAAGCGACGGCCGACACCAAACAACAAACGGAAAAGGTAACATTCATATTGCTCTAGTATTTAGGACCAAATAATCTTTAAGATACTTTCAACACACTTGCTCACAAAGTGGATTTTATTTCAGCAGTTTTCAATATGTAAATCAGCTCGTATCACACGCGTACCACAATTTTAACACACACACCCGACACCGTCCTCCCTGGCGAAGACGATGACCCCAAACACAATACCGCGTAATAGACCGGGCCTGCGCGCGCCTGGTTGCACCTCCGATCGATCCCCCGTCCAATTCAAATGGGGATCGATATGACGACGGCCTGAGTCGGGGTTCAAACCCCTAGCGGTGCCTTCAGATTAAACTCGTATCCGTCAGGCGGGAGTTGGCCTTCAGCCGCTCCATAAGTCCTTCCTTTGGTTTGGAGTGCCATCTGCACTCGCCCCCTGTAGTCCGGTGAAGCTGTAAAGGCTAACTGCGGCCAACAGCATTAGAGTAGTCCGAAAAAAAAAATTTAATGTATTATTTTATCATTGTTCCCTTAAATTGGTCACATTGACCTACTGTTGTATCACAGCGGCCACATCTCACCTTCTACCTAATAATCTACTTTAATAATATGCACATCATCTTTCAGCAAACAAAAGAGATAACGAACGGTCAAGAACCTAAAAAGGAACCGCCAAAAGCAATTGAGAAGTTCAAGACAAACTCGGAAATGTATCAGAGAGCTAGCGAACTACTCGACAAGCAACTACAGCAGCAGAAATGCTTGATTGAGAGGCTAGAGTCTGGTGAGTGTAGTAATTGTTATAATATTTTACCTATTTATCTAATCTATACATATAAATAAACTTGCAGTGTCTGTTTGTAATACTGAAATAACCGTTTATTACTACATACATATGAATATAATGACGGTACATACACTAAAATAACATTTTTTATAATTTTTGTCTGACTATCTGTTTGTTCCGACTAATCTCTGAAAATAATATAATATTTATCATTCAAGTGGAATACAGAATTGAACTAATCTCGATTTATAAATTTACATTTTTTGAACAGGTAACGTGACCGTTCAGCAAAAACCGGCGTTAGTGGAAGCTATCAGCTCCGGTCAGCAAGCGATCGAGAAATTGAACAACGAGATCCGTTCCTACGGCAAGATGCTGGCCGCCGTGAAGGTAAGTACCTGCATAACACTCGCTTGCTTCTCGATCCCTATTTCCCTTTCTAAATTTATATATCAGTCCCGGATCTGGGGATGGGGCAACTAGGGACTCGTGCCCCGGGCGGCAAGTTCTGGGGACGGCAAATACGAACTTGACAGATGAAACAAAACTCATCATTAACGCGTCTTTGACAACGCCAAGTGGTTGTTTGAGACGTCAAGTAAATTGTTTGGTAATATGTATATTATAAAAATGTTGGCCGGAGGGGGAGGGCGAGGGGAGACCTAGGGAAGCGGCATTTTTTATTTTTGCTCCCCCTCAAAAAATTGACGATCTGGGGCTGTATATATATCCGATTTTTAAGGTGAGAAAGATATATTATTTTTGTATCTGTTTGTTTTTTTTATGTTATGTGTACCATATATAATTCGTGTATTATCTCAGAAGAAACAGAATTATTAATTTTCTGTCTCTGTTTGTTTTTCTGTTTATTCTCCTCTGTGTTATATGTACATCCTTTATGACTAGAAGTGATTTTTTTTAATGGATGATAATGGAATGGTAAATCCGCCTGCTCTAACGGTGTACCTAGCGTATATCTTGGCACAGTGGAGGATGATAAGATGAACATAGGTCAGGTGAGTTAGCACATCGTGATAAATTCAGGAATTTGTCATGATGATTTCCGCATGGAAGTGAATCTGAAATGATGGTACATTGCTAGCAAAGGGTCAACAGTCCCCATTACCACCAATCCCCATTCTTATGTGACGTGATTAATGAATATGAGAAGTAAATGAATAATGTGATGACAGGACGAGTCGGTAACGCGATCTCTCTCTCGGCTGCAACTGGCACAGGTACCGCGGTCACGTCTGCGTCTGCGCATGCGTTTGTTTGCATTGTGATATTATATAATCATTCTTGTTATGGGTGGCGCTAAACAAAATGTTTATAACTCGCAGAAAACTTCATCAGGCCTCATTACTAAGGGATGGCTATAAAACAATACAAATTTGTTTATAAGTCGCACTACACTATACCAGGTGCCATTACTGGGTGATAACTATTAAAATAAATACAAAATTGTTTATAACTCTCACTACACTATATCAGGTCCCATTACTGGGGGATTACTACTAAAAAAATACAAAATTGTTTATAACTCGCACTACACTATATCAGGTCCCATTACTGGGTGATAACTATTAAAATAAATTCAAAATTGTTTATAACTCTCACTACACTATACCAGGTGTTATTACTGGGTGATAACTATTAAAATAAATACAAATTTGTTTATAACTCTCACTACACTATACCGAGTGCCATTACTGGGTGATAACTATTAAAATAAATACAAAATTATTTATAGCTCTCACTACACTATACCAGGTGCCATTACTGGGTGATAACTATTAAAATAAATACAAAATTGTTTATAACTCTCACTACACTATACCAGGTGTTATTACTGGGTGATAACTATTAAAATAAATACAAATTTGTTTATAACTCTCACTACACTATACCGAGTGCCATTACTGGGTGATAACTATTAAAATAAATACAAAATTATTTATAACTCACTACACTATACCAGGTGCCATTACTGGGTGATAACTATTAAAATAAATACAAAATTATTTATAGCTCTCACTACACTATACCAGGTGCCATTACTGGGTGATAACTATTAAAATAAATACAAAATTGTTTATAACTCGCACTACACTATACCAGGTGCCATTACTGGGTGATAACTATTAAAATAAATACAAAATTATTTATAACTCTCACTACACTATACCAGGTGCCATTACTGGGTGATAACTATTAAAATAAATACAAAATTGTTTATAACTCGCACTACACTATACCAGGTGCCATTACTGGGTGATAACTATTAAAATAAATACAAAATTATTTATAACTCTCACTACACTATACCAGGTGCCATTACTGGGTGATAACTATTAAAATAAATACAAAATTATTTATAACTCTCACTACACTATACCAGGTGCCATTACTGGGTGATAACTATTAAAATAAATACAAAATTATTTATAACTCTCACTACACTATACCAGGTGCCATTACTGGGTGATAACTATTAAAATAAATACAAAATTATTTATAAAATATTTTACTGGGGATAACTATTAAAATAAATACAAAATTGTTTATAACTCGCACTACACTATCAGGTGCCATTACTGGGTGATAACTATTAAAATAAATACAAAATTATTTATAACGTTTTCGTTTGTTGCTACTATTGATACACGCTCGATATTCATCTCGGCAAACTATACTTACAGTATCTTATCTTTTTCCTAATTATACGTATAAATAATAAACCCGTTAAATTTAAAATAATATCTAACTGTTGTACTTTCTAGGTTATGCCCAAAAGTTCTTAATAACTAGCTCTGTTTCTCGACATTTGTTCTCACTTATTACTCGCTCTTCTATTACGCGGTACTCTCAGAACGCGGTTTCCATATAACGCGGAACTGAAATTGCGACAGCCCTCCTATAACGCGGTACTCTTACAGCGCGGTTTCCGTTCAACAACGTCCCATCAGTTCTTTCCGTGCACCCAATGAATGGTTTTAACTGGATATGTTTATATCAGTGTGGTTCAGATGGGGCTCCTCATGCGCTATCTAAAATCTATTAACTAAATAGTTTCGCATCGACAGCGTGCCATGCGTGTGTGTGTCTAACGAAACTGTAACGTGAAAGATATATATGTGATCTTTTGACTACATTGTCGCGTTAACTAAAGAAAAACTACGTTCTGCTTATGTCTTAGCCGCTTAAAACCAATGTGAAGATCAACCAAGTGAGGAAGACATTTTGCCCATTAAAAGAACGAGTTAAATAATATCTGACAGTGAGGATGAGTGTTGAAAATAATATTTTACAAAAGTCTTTCTTTTGTTTTTGTTGGAAAACAGTTTTTTAGTTTAGTTTTTGTTTCATTTTTTTCATCATTTCCTTATTTTTATCTTGTCTTTTGTATTTATTGGTCTCCATATAACGCGGTACTGTTTCTTATTCTGAGTCTCTTGTAGCGCGGTTCCATACACTTAGACGGTTTCCATACGCGCTCTTAGCCTGGTTTGTATGGTTAAATCCGAGTTTCTTATAGCGCGGTTTCCATACAACGCGGTACGCACTCACCGCGTTATAGGAGGGTTGACTGTACATGCATACACGCCCTAATGGTACATTATGGAGGGATCTAGTTTACTAATAAACGCGATATTTTAAAATTACACAATTATGAACCAGCGACCCAACCGAGCCTCGCTTCAGAGAAACACGTTGAAGGACCAAAATGTATGAAATTTCAGTATTACGGCGACGAAAGGACCAAAATATAATGGATCGGTGGACTGTATGGGTGTCTAAATGATGAAAACACGTAGTTTGCAATAATAATATATTAATATGTGCAATTGCGAACTATACGAAAGACAACGATAGAATGATACAATAAATTGAAGTATATCAAATAACATGACATATAAAAAAGAACTCTTCAAAAATATACATTTAAAAATAATAAAAATATCAAAAGAGTTCGGCAGTCGGTCGCCAACGATTAAAACTTTTGCCGTATGAAATCGCGGCTGAAGTAGTATCATCTAATAACAATAGAAGACAAACAATATAATTAATTTAAAAAAAACCTAGTTTCGCAACAGTATTATAGAACCACATTGTGGAATCACCTTACAGCAATGGTATTTCCGAACTGATACGATATTAAAATCTTCAATGGCCTATTCCTTCTTAAAAGGCCGATAACGCACTTGCAATTCCCCAAGTATTACGTATATTAGGTGTTCAGGCGTTGTGGTAACTTACCATCAGGTGAGCCGCAAGCGCGTTTTTATTAATGATAAGAAAAATGCCCCTATGATATAAAAAAAATTTTTTTTATTTAATAAATTAGTATATTTAGCAGTTGATCCATTAAAAACAATAAATCTTGCCTTTTTATTTTATTACTTTACATACTTTAAATATTGTAGATATAAAAAAAAAATTCGCAGTATTTTAATTTCTTATTACTTGAACACGCACCTGTATGTGTTTATTTTGCGATTCTGTACGTCAAGTATTTAATTATTTGCATGGACTCGTATCATATATCCTAAACGTTTCTATTTCAAATACATACCGTTTTAGTTCTTCGTGTTGTCGTTGTCCTCTATATTTGTATTGTGTTGTGTTTGTCTTTGTATTTGATTTAAATATATAATCACGCATGCGCACTCGCGACGCACGTCCTCTATCGTAGTGTCATGTATTCATAACCAACTCTCATTGTAATATATAATTATTTAACATATGTTTTGTGTAATTATGTATGTAATTAATGTATTAAAATTAGTTGTTATGTCATTATATATTGATACACTATGTATTGCACTCACTCTGTATAAGATAAGCAATTATTGATAATTGATATTTGCTTGATTTCATATTCTGTTGAATAATAAATATGACCGAATATTTTAAATATGTCCAAAACGACGGGTAAATGCTTGTGTTAAATAAAATAATTATCAATATTCGTGTTAGATTACGAATTCGTATAAAGAAGAAATAAAAATGCATAATCAACTGTATTTTATAGAATATAATTTATGTAAAATTAAGGAGAAATACAATTGTCGAGGAAAATACATGTAATTTATTTATATTATAACTGGGTCGTAACCTGAATAACTTTATTGCAAGTAAAGATATTTACCTCTCGACGTTTCGACTAGAATGCAATAGCCATAGTCACTACCTGAGTCCACCTTTATTTGCTATAAAATTATCCGTGTTCAGACCCGGTTAATAATATAAATAATGTATATTGAACACGAAAGTTTAAAAATAACTAAGTATATATATATGAGACAAATATATACTGACAAGGTGGTGAAGTATCTGACACAAACATATATAGATAGATATACTGATAATGTTCTATATATGCTCGCTTATATATTTTACCTAAACAGTTAGTTAAATAAATATTTTGATTATCATCATTACATACTTACATGTAAAAAGAATAACTATCACAGTTGTAAATAGTTAATTATTAATTACTATTTTTGTTATAATATTGTAAATAGTATAATATTAATAATATTGTTTAATTTATTTATATACATAATATATATATATATATGTATATGCTAGTTTAATCCCCGCGGCACTGTCAGCATAAAATATTATTATTATTATTAATATAAACCCGTATTCTATTGAAATACTTTTTTTATTTGGTCTGGTATTATATGAGTTTATCTATTACAAAGATATTGAAAAATGAAACTCTTATTATAATAATATTAGTTAGTGTACACTAATGAATCCCGTATTAAAATCTCTAGTAATTTATTTATTTTCATAGATTCGTTTTTACAGACATACAAATTTGGCAGAGCACTGTATAAAAATACTTTAATTAAACAATACTTCAAGTATTGTTTTATATTTTTTTGTTTATTGTACAGTAGTATGTTTTTATAAATAATTTAATTTGTAGATGTAGACATAGAACTATTTTGTAGTTCGAAGTTTGTTAGTAGTGTAGTCTAGTACTAATTAATAACGTGTATAAGAATTAAGCAGCCTTTTTACCATCAGCCCAAACATATGCGTATTCAGCTAGTTCATACAAGGCCTTATTCCGGGAAAGACCATATGTCTGTATCAAACACCCGTAGATAAACTACTCACCTCAAAAGAACAAATTCTAACTCGTCCATACAAAAACGGAAAAGGCCATAAGTCTGTATCAGAAATACCGTAGGTAAACTGTTTTTTTATACTCATCTCAAAAGAACTATTTATAACTCGGCCATGCAAAGCTGAAAAGACCATATGTCTGTATCAGAAATCTCCTAGGTAAACTGTTTTAAATACTCACCTCAAAAGAACTATTTATAACTCACCCATGCAAAGCGGAAAAGACCATATGTCTGTATCAGAAATCCCGTAGGTAAACTGTTTTTTTATACTCACCTCAAAAGAACTATTTATAACTCACCCATGCAAAGTGGAAAAGACCATATGTCTGTATCAGAAATCTCCTAGGTAAACTGTTTTAAATACTCACCTCAAAAGAACTATTTATAACTCGCCCATACAAAAACGGAAAAGACCATATGTTTGTATCAGAAATCCCGTAGGTAAACTGTTTTAAATACTCATCTCAAAAGAACTATTTATAACTCGCCCATGCAAAGCTGAAAAGACCATATATCTGTATCAGAAATCTCCTAGGTAAACTGTTTTAAATACTCACCTCAAAAGAACTATTTATAACTCGCCCATACAAAAACGGAAAAGACCATATGTTTGTATCAGAAATCCCAAGTAAACTGTCTTTTTGTACTCACCTCAAAAAAAAACTATATTTTATTATTGTAACTCGCCCATGCGAAGCTGGGATGGGAAAGCTAGTTTACAATCACATGTTAATAAAAACCGCCATTTTTGTTTGGTGTGGGTGGAATTTGATACTAATAAGATTTTTTGCATTAATTCATTTAATTTGATACATATTTTATTGTTATGTTGAGGGAACTTATTTATATCTATTCCCAAATCATCTAATTTGGTTTGTGTACTACAAATGAGATGGATATTTTTAACACTTTTACTTTTGTAATGGTAATACGGTAATTGTTAATTATTTTGTTATAACATTGTTTTTATATGGGTGTGGTTGTATGGAATTTTGTTTATTATAGCCAACTATATTTAGATTTATTCTAGAATTATCGAATCTATGACAAAAAAACATGCAACTATTGAATAATTGGTTGCCAATAATTAAATTACTTTAAAATGATGGTCACTTTTTGAATTAGTTTTGTTTTTGTACGACATTTTAAACAAAAGTGAACGGATTTTGTCTATTCATTTTGCAATTGATAGGGTTTATTCTCGCGTTGCTTGCATACGAATAGCGTAACTATCAAAATGGGATTTATTCTAAAACAATATCTAACGTCATTAAAAAAACTGTTGTAAATTTTTATGTCCCTATAACTGAAATGCAGAGTGCATTAGGTGTTCCTAACAACAGCTAAAAAATTCTTCAAAATCCTTTTTTTATGGATGATAATAAAATAAAGGTTCCCCACGCACTAGAAACATTAGAGGCTTCAATGGATGAAGTATAATATGATAAGGGTGAAGTCAAATCAGTTAGCGTCATGGCGAATGCCCTAGGAATTTATCAAGATAGTTAGGTGACAGTTTAAAAGTCGTTTGTTAGGGTTATATTGTTAACTAGTAGGGTTTGGGCCCACAAAGATTATATAAATCCGTATGAACTTTTTGGGTAATGAACCATTTAATGTACGGATTAATACAATTAATTTGACTGTATACTCAATTACACTCCAATCAGCTTGTCATTTGGTGATAGTAAATATTTCCGTAACATTTTGACGATCAACAGCTAATGATTTCAAATGTTATGTACATAAATATATGATGTACATAGTCATAGCACTGATGAAGCTTGGCAGCTTTGTATATAGCTAAGTACATGCGTTTGTCCACAGGCCAACGTGAAGAAACCAAAGACAAGAGAGGAGGCGCAGAGAGAGATATTGGATGCTGAACTGGACCTGTTCACAAAGCAACAGGTGAGATGTTGTAATACAGCAGACTTTTAATTAACCACATCTTAGTTGATTTAATTTAGAAATATTCGTATGGTGTGTGTGAGCAACGACTAAAATGAAATCATAATTAATTGTGAAATATTAGTATATTAAGTTCATAATAAAAGTAATGATTTTTATTAACGATTTAGGATATCGAATTGTTATTTTCATCAAATAATAATATTTGTTATTATAATATTCGATCCATTTTTTCTAAAATATTCTTGAACACCAAAATATATAGTTTTCCGAATGATTGGATAATTAGAAATTCAATTGTTCAGATAAGCCTCGATATTTCATCACTTTTTGTTAAAAAATGGTGGGTTAAAAAATAGAAAAAAAAATAGCCTCACTTATGTAACGTATGTACTCTTATTATATCACCCGTTATAATATACCCAGGATGTTAATATAACACATATGCAACTCTGGATTATAAAAATTGCCGTAAAAGCATTAATACGAATTAAGAAAAATATGTCGGATTTGCATTTTTTTTTTTCATACTGATTTATTTTGTTATGTGAACTTTGCTATTTGGCAGTTTGTATTCACAAAAATCATTAAAAATGTAATTCTGAACATCATTCATTTATTTATAAGGAGTAACACGCTGGTTTCTTACTCATCCTTGTGTTGAGTCCGCGTTCCGAATGAGTGGGTGAATAAAAATATGACTTAAAAAATATTTCCATTTACCCGCCAAATTTTTATAGCATGTGATTTTTTTGTAGGAGGGTCAAGATGTCACAGATCTAGTCAAGAAGGTTGCAGAACTAAGAAGGTTGATGTCAATAAACTATCCACCAATAAGACGACAACAATCCAGGTTAGATCTTTACTCCTTTTGTTATCTGTGGTATTTTATAAGAACGATAACTAAAACAATACAAAAGGAATTTTCTTTCACACAATGCATCCATCTTTTTGTAATCGTACTTACTACTTCTCGTAAATCTCCCTATACATCCATCGAAGTTTAAGTTAAATATTTAATGTAAAATTCGTACCTAAAAAATGAAAAATAAATTCTTATTAAATTTTCCGTTTGTATAAATTACCTATAGCTACCTATACTCATTTTACATGTCATTAATACAGAGTATTGCCAACAACAAAAAAAGAAGTGGCAACCATAACCATAACTAAAAATTAGAAACTTCTAATTTTTTGTTTTGTCAAAATATTTGTAATTTCGTAGGTGAAAATATGATAATCATATTGAATGTACGTTTTATTTTCATTCGTTTTGTATTATTTATTATACTGAGATATTTACAGTGGGATTAAACAAGTGTAATAGTGTCTTATTTATATATTTAACCTCTATAGCTTTCATCTATGTGCTTTTTACTTTTCAAGCTATCGTATTGTGAAGAGAAAACTTAGGTGAGAATCTTTAAATTCATTTTTGTATGCATGACCTCTTGTTTTTCTCTTGATAAATATTCCTGAAGCACGGCAAAACATGTTCGGACATATCGGACGTGTAAAATTGCGGTGCTTTTTTTTTACAGAAAATCGATTCATGAACTTCACGATGTATATTTTCCTGCAGATCTCAAAAAAACGAATATATAAAAACACAAAATTAGATTAAATTAAACTCCGATTGAAGGACTCGTCTTTTTGAGCCCGATATAAAAAATGTAGATATATAGGAAATGTATGTGTGGAATGCTATTAGTCTGTTTTTAATCTCGGATTCAAATCAAATGGCAACATCGGTAATGTCAAATTTGTCTCCGGGATTAAAAAGCAGACTATAACTGGTATATTTTTCTGTAATTACGTAGTTCTGTGTAATCGAACCTAGGCGTACGTATCGTCGTAGACCCGGCTAACAATATAAATAGTTTATTAATTATAATTGTATCTACAAGTAGTTTATATGCAACAGGGGCGGGCGATTCAACACATCAACTCGGTTCACTCGCAACGCTGCCGCCGCACCGAAGACGTTCAGCCAGAACCAGTCGGTGGACCACCGGCCGCGCGCGCTACTCATCTCCGGCTTTGAAGCTGATGAATTGGACGCGCTGGTCGCGCATTTCTCGGTACTACATTTATTCTTTAACTGTATTTACAAATAAAGGCCATATACCCTTCTCAAGGGAGAGGAGACAGCCTGTCACAGCTGCTCATATTTGTAAGACGCTAGAATGACGACACGATGTTATGTGACTATCATCATTCTAGCGTCTTTAACAATTTTGCACTTGTAGGGCCATTGTAAACTTGTCAACAAAACAATTTTAACCTTATTTATAAATTATATTTCAACTTTAGTGTTTTCATATTTAGATATATTAAATTTTGAAAGATCACGAAATTTAGGATCGCTTCTACCACGGTTGTCACACTTTGTCTACCCCCCCTTCCCCCTTTTGACGTCGCCTATATACAACAGCATCATAGACATCTCTCGTGAGACTCACATGTGTTGCCGTTCCTGAGCAATAAAGGTATCATGCTTCTATTTACTGTGAATACATATTGCTATAGAAATGGATATCATATAAAAAAACTAAGGTAATTGTATTTTGAACGTCAATGTAGGGAAATATCAAACGCTTTCTCCATTAACTGTAGTGAATATTATGTATATTCAACACGTGGACATGTGATCTAAGAGTATATGGACTAATTATGTATTTTGATTACTTGCGATAACGTTTGAAAGAGGAATAAATATATTTTTATTCACGTACAATACAGAATCGTCTTTCATTTGATTGATTATACTCGTGTATGTATTTTGATATGTAATGTTACTAATTTATCCACAGCAATATGGCCCGGTATGTCATAAGGATGCAAATCTGACGGTTCCGGAGCTGGTTCTACAGTACCGCGCGCGCGCCCACGCCGAACAAGCGGCGGTTCACGGGAAGCACTATAACGAGCGGACGCTTTCGGTAAGAAACTAGTTATTTGTTATACCACAGGGCGTCACTAGGACCGGTGTACTAAAACAAAATGAGTGGACCCTCTTGGTGAGGTGCTACCTGTAGAGTATAAGTAGAGTAACACTGGAGTCAGTGTGCTAGTATGGAAAGAATTGTCGCTCTCGGTGAACAGTTTGCTGTAGGGCGTACCACAAGGCAACATTCTCGGGCCAGTATAGTATAGGTTTACTAGTGAACGAGATCTGGTAGCTAATTGCCCAGAAAAAAGAACTGCAATTAAGAGGGAACTCTGCCAGTATCTTGGGAGCACTGCGTCGATGTTCCGCGTTGGAATAATGATTATTTGTAATAAAGATAATTATTTGTCCCTCTCTAAGGTAATGTATACCAATACAAGACTTTTTAACAAATATGTTTATTACAGGTGACGTGGGTTGCGAATCCTAAGCCTATGTCAGCGACGAACGAAGTGGAGCCGCGGGCACCACCGCAAAACGGCGATAACGGGACCGAGGAGATTAAAGATGCAGAGGTGAGATATTGTCTCGGCATAACCTATATTCTTAACATGATTGGTTCATAATCTGCTTCTTTATCCCATCCATTTCTGGTCGACGTATTATGTTTTCTCTACTGCGAACGGGGGTGAATTCATACCTGTTCGCAGTCGTTTCGTCATTCACTCTCTTTATTGCTATATTATCTTTGATATAGGCCAATCATTTCTTTTTCTGCCTTTATAACCATTCACATTCATATATAACACTTGCTTTAAAAATTCTCATTCCTACGCATTACATGCCCATACCAATGCTCATTTCGAGAGAGATGTGGTGGAGACCACTCTTCATGTTCTCCGACAGTGGCGCTGCTTTCTCTGATGTATTCATTCTTTATCAAATCCATTCTTGCCACATCTTCTCAACATTCGCATTTCAGTTGAATGCACTCGTAATATAATATTTCTAGTCTATTTATTCATATAAACAGACATGCTATTTGTATTGAAATTAATTATTTTTAATTAAATCTGTTAAATTTACAGACACCGCCCGAGGTGTCAGAAGATGTGTTGCTCCGGTTCGATGAAGAGGAGGATGAAGACGCCGAGGACCGGTCGTGGAGACGTTGACGTCGCGCCGGCCGCTAGCCGCCGCCCGCACGCAGACCACACGCCGTCCGCACGCAGGGGACACGCTGCGCGCGCGCGCCGGCCAAGCTGCGGACACGCACAGCGCACGCAGCGGCCGCGCTACGAGCTCGTCTCCACCACACCACGGTCGCGGGGCTAGCACTCTACTCTATATGTATATATTTAATGTTGATAGCCTGTGCGTGACGAACGTATCTTCGCATTCGTGGTAGGTAACGCTAGTAACACATTATTAGTATCTGCTGTTTTGTTTAATATTATATTATAATTAATATAATATCCATTATCATCTGTAAAATACTACATACAATATTTTATTATTATTAATAGATACGTTCACAGTCGCGCACAGATTGTAATAGCATTTAAAACAATTTATATACATACTCGTTCAGTCACCACTTGCCTAATGTCAAAGTAAAAGAATAACATTTATTAGATTGCGGTCCTCCTAAACTAGAAAGCAATATAGTGTAATGTACAGTACTAGAAAACAATATTGTACAGTAGACAGTAAGGGAAGTGACCTAATCTGTACAGGGGTTCCGTATTTTCCATATATTTCAAACTGGAAATTACAATTATTTGAACATTTTGTACAACACATTTATGAAAGAAATTTTTATTTATTAAACATATACGACTTAGAAAAGAAATCAATACAAAATAGAACACATCACAATACATAATAAGTCCGCCATATGTACACATTGTTTTAGTACATTAAAGTTAAAATAATAATGACAATAATATGTTTATTCTGTAATAGAAACAGAAATGTTGAGTTGGAGATAAATCATAAGAAAGGAACGCAATTATTTATTTATTTAAATAACTGTATTGACCAAACGAAACATGGTATAAAGAGCTAATTTAATAGAAGCATTCTCTACCAATCGTTTGGTATGGACAGTCCATTCATGAATGCGGTACTTGACATAGGTTTGTGAAGTCTATAACTAATAATGCCAGACTAATTAAATAATATTAAAATTAATAATAACAAGATCATAAAATGTTAATTAAAATAAATATTGAACCCTTATGAAAAATACATACCATTTATATTTAACTAGCTACGCGTCCAAGCTCCTCACGGGTGTATATATACATATAAACCTTCCCTTTGAATCACTCTATCTATTGCTAAAAACTGCATTAAAATCCGTTGCGTAGTTTAAAAGATCTAAGCCAACAGACACAGAAGCAACTTCTTTTTATACTACGTAAAGATTAAACAAATAGATAAATTTTAGAAACAAATGTTATTTGTCTGGTGAGTAAACATGAAATATACTTACAGAATTTATTTTTTAGGTATAATAAGTAAAGCTGGCAATTTATTTAATACATTAATTAGTAATTGCCACTTTAATTCGAGTATTTAACGATTCAATTCCTAAACAGAATGAATAAATAAATTGTAAATGTATTTCATATACAAATAAACTTTAACATTTGGTCAGTGGTGGCTGAATAAACACCTAAGTCTTATGAAATACAACCCAATATACTAAAATAACTGATTAATAATCTGTACAATGTTTTTATTTATAATACAGTTACAATCAAGTGTTTTGTTGACGCAATTCTCATTTATTACAACTTGTGCAAAGTTATTGAGTCAGTTAAAGATTTAGGTGTTAGATCTAATACAGCTTGGTGTGGAATTCGTGTTAGATTTTTTTATACAACGTCATTTTTACAGCTTTTATACAAGTAAAGAATATAAACTATGTTATTCTCTATTAATACAGTATGTCAGATTATAACATGAATAATTTTAAGGTACATAAAGGTTTACCTTTCTCTATGTTATACAATAGTAATGTGTATTAAACACGAAACTTTAAAAATAACCATGTCATTCTCTGAAAATGCAGCTATCTATTGTCAGAAGAATTAAAAAAAAACAAACATACAAAACATCAGATTTTTCCACTTCATAATATTGGTATAGAAAAGAATATCAAGTTTAACTATATTCGTTTCAGAAATTGGTACTTTTTTTCTTTTATAATTCCTTCCTTCTTCTTCTTCCTTCCTACAGCTAATACATAACTACCTAGATTACGCTATGTTTTCAATGATAAGCAGAGCAAACTATAATTTCATCTTGTCATATCTTTTCATTTCTTCTTTAATTCAAATATGACATTAAAATTACGGTCCTCTCCTTATAGTTAAAATTAATACAAATTCTACATCACATAAACAGTGTGATGCTGTTTCTTTTCATTTCTTGTGCTATTTGAATCCTATTTTAATAGTGTTAGGACTTGAAGTGATTAAAAATTACCTCTACATTGGATTATGGCTGTGTTTATGTACATCGTCCGTTTTATATGTCGCGAGAGTGCGCAATAAGCTCTGTTGTAACGTCGTTTAATTGCAGTCTTAACGACTTTGATTTGTAGTTGAGTCGTCGCATTGAATCGCAGTATTGTCAAATTGAATCGCAGAATTGTCGTATTGAATCGCAGTGTTGTTGCGTTGAATCGCAATGTTGTCGTTGTGTTTAGTCACAGTCTTGATACATTTATATTGTACATTGCAGTCATTATGATGCGTTGAATCGCAATGTTGTCATTGTGTTTAGTCACAGCCTTGATACGTTCAAATTGCAGTCGCGTGTGGTCGCATTAAATTGCACTGAGAACACATTGAATCTTATGTATCGTCTATTAACGCGATTAAGTTATAGTTGTGTCGTCGTATTGAACCACAGTATTCTCATTTTGAATCGCAGTATTGTATTGAATCGCAGTTATGTTGTGTTGAATCGCAACGTTATAATTTTGTTTAGTCAGTCTTGATACGTTTAAACAGTCGTGTGGTCGCATTTCCATTGAATCGCAGAGCGGTCGTTGCGTTATATTTATTTATTCTTTATTGCACTATCGAAAATAAATGTACAATTGGCGAATTGGGAATTGGAAAGCGGTTGAAGGGCAGTAATGGGAAATGGCATACTATTGATATTTACCTAACTTAGGTAAATGTTTCAATCCTTACATAACATATAACTTATATTGTGGTTTAACTCATTTAAATCGAAGTCTTGTGGTCGCACGAATGGCGTTTAATTGCGTTTTTAACCTGCTTACACGGCCGTCATTTGATTGTTGCTGTTAATCGCAATTTGAGCATTATTTAAGCCAGTAATGGCTTAAATTATGCTCAAATTAAATCGTCATAACAATCGTCGATTTAAATCTGCAGTTTCGTAATTATGTCCGGACCGTTGCAGTTGTAATTGCGAAAAACATGTAATACTCTTGGTCCGTAAATTAATACTGTACAACAATAAAATTGCAAACCAATCGTTTTTAGTTTATTACAACTGAGAATTGTTGTAACTGACCTAAATGAACAGCTGTTATACTGTTTGGTAATCGCTTTCGTGTCGACGCCTGTGTGTCGCCAATTTTAATCACCACAGTCATGTTATAGCGACATGCTGTCGCTATATCGCGTCGTACAAATCCCACTCGTGTTGGCGGTTTTAACAAACAGCTGTTATTGTGTTTGTGATGATTAAAATTGGCGATACACTTTTGTATCGATGCGTCTGTCGCCAATTTTAATCATCACAGTTGTGTCGTAGCGACATACTGTCGCTATATCGCGTCGTACCAATCCCAGTCGTGTCGGCGGTTTTAACAAACAGCTGTTATTGTGTTTGGTATGCACTTTTGTGTCGACGCGTGTGTCGCAAATTTTAATCATCACAGTCCTGTCGTAGCGACATAATATCGCTATATCACGTACCAATCCCAGTTGTGTAGGGAGTTCTTTTCTGTAAATACAATGGTTTTTTTTTTTTTGTAAATATTGACGTTATATTCCGACGTTGACCAACGGCAGGTTGCCATCAATCTCAGTTCCTATAAAAGCGAAAGAAACGAATTATTTGGTCGACGTTTAGATTGGTGTAGATTTCTTGATGTCTTCTTTTTTGAGTTATTGATGTTTGTTAGGTTTAGGTTTCGAAGTGGTAGTTATGTTTTGTTGGTTTTTGTTTGTTTGTGTGTACTGTTTTGAGTGTATATAATGAGAGATTTTTAGCATATATATGTATATATACGCAAAGATTACAACTATGTTTTTATTTTCAAGTTACAAAAGAAATATTGAAAATAGAGTGAAAATATATGCGTTTGGATAACATTATGATATTTCTGTTCAGGGTTAGGCCGTCAATATAGGTAAAAATACCTTTTTAATCAATTATTATGCCAAACAAATGAACAGCATTATGGACATCACGTTATCATGTGATGTACGTAACACTCGGGCGTATCCATTTAGAGAACTAAGATGTCACGCCTCTTATCCTGTAATTTCACTGCCTAATTGTACCCTACAACTGACACAGCTTATATGGCGTCTACAATAGGTGGTACTGAAGTACCCAGACAGACGATGTTTTACAGTAAACCATATTTAATGTAACATCTCTCGTTATAAACACTAATAACTTAGCTTCAACGCTATACGTGTTGTACCTGGCATCGTAATTATTTAATTTGTATTATTTTCTAATAAAACAAACAGAATCTTTTTTTTTTAATATATATGTATTACACTAACCAGCTCACTTATTTTAACTATTATTTTTTTTGTCGCATTCTTTCAAATGAAAGAATTAGCTTGAGTAAATGAGACAGTTCAATCAACAGTAGATTTATTATAGAATTGATATTTGTACGAATAAGGGAATTAGAAAACATGCAACATGTTTCACAAAACAGATGTTCTTAAAATTATAGTGTAATGAAATGTATATTTTTTAATACAAACATGTATTTGAGAGTATAGGAGCATCGGTTATACTGATTTCGCTGATCGATACAAAATATATTGAATACGAAATGAAAATCAAGTGTACAAAGTCAGTTTATCGTTTTGATTTCTAGAATGTACTGTATAAAACATTTATGAATATTGTTTAGAGTAGTACCATTGGTATAATGGCTAGATTTTCTTTTAATATTTTGCTGTTTTAGATGATAATAACCATTTGTAAATAGTTTTACACGGATAATATTGTAATTTGTTTGTCCAAAATATTTTATCGTGGTTGTGGAGATATTTGAGAATAAAATAAAAGTGCAAGTTCATTATTGAACAGAGTGTTTTTATTATTTTTAATACAAGTTTTTGGGTGACATTTTTATTTACTGAAGCGTGGCTTCAAGTTTATATCATGTAATTATTTTGGATAAACAAATTGAAGTTTGTTAACATTGATTTGTAAATTTAATTAGTCATAGTTTTAATGTGTTACTGACTTAGTTGTGTAATTCTTGTAAAAAAGATGCATAAAAAGATATTCACGAGCCGCAATTAAAAAAAAAGACCCGCAACATGGCGGCGCCAAAAGATATTTTTAAAAAGTCAGTGCATATTTTTTTATGGCGGTTGCTACACGCACTAAAGAGATTTGTAACGCAAGAAAAAAAAGACTTGTGATATTTCAGTTTGATTTTGTTTTGTAAAAAAAAATATGCTGTTGAAAAAAAAATATGCAACCGCCAAAATAAAAAAAAAATGGTTCTATGTTTCTGGAGGAAATACGTCAAACGTCAAATTCTTTTTCAGCTAAACATGGATATGTGTCAATTGACTTGATCAAGCAGTTTGAAGATCGTCAAGAAATACCCAACTCATATGTATACAACATATGGGTTTCAATGTTGATCTGTAATTGGAGTGTTAGTTTATGGAAGACGTATGATCGCAGAAGTGAAGATGCAAATGTTGAGATGGATCTGTAGGGAAAACCGTGAATTCGTTGTTGTACCTCAATAATAATAATTTGTTACAAAGTACGCCAGTCCTATGGAGTTAAAAGGACAAAAAGCGGGTTAGTGTAAAGAAAACAAGCAACGCTCACATCATTAAGAAAGCAATGTTAGCATTTCCGTAGTTTTTATAAACATTGTATATTGACTTGCTGACAACTGTTCTTTTACAATGTCTATTATTGCTGAAAAGTAATCTCCCACACAATAATATTCAATAGTCACATACGATCCGATCGAAAACGGGTCGAGTAATTAGTTATAAGAAATATTTTAAATATTCACAGAAAATATGCAAAGGTACGAAGTTAATTAGTACTTTAAAGATTTTGTATGAAATGAGTCTGTCCATACTAATTATATAGTAAACAAAAGGATGGTCTGTGAGAAGGATATGCAAAAAAAAGGAAGTAAGTTTGAAGATGACGGCTGCAAGGGATATAGGGAGGGAGGAGATATACTCCGTGGACTCCAGTACGGATTGAGGCAAGACGATGATGATAAGCGAATGATTTTACAAGAAATTGAATATGAAGAAGACTGAAACTGGAAGATATTAAATGGTCTAGTTTCTTTATTTCAATCCCCATGCGTCGGTCGCGACGTCGCTACCACTCCTCTCCTGGGTTCAATCTATACATATAAATAAAATTGAAGTGTCTATTTGTAATATTGAAATAACCGTTTTTTAGTACGTGCATATGAATATACCAAAAACCACTTTTTTACAATTTTTGTCTGTCTGTCTGTCTGTCTGTCGGTTTGTTCGAGCTAATCTCCGAAATAGCTAGACCAATTTTAACGGGACTTTTTTGGCAGGTAACTGATGTAATAAAGAGTAAAGACTTTTATTTTAGAAAAATAAACTTAAATTCCACGCGGACGAAATCGCGGGAACAGCTAGTCTCCCATATAATAATGCAATTTTGTATACTACGTATGATGAAGGATAAATTAAAACTAAATACATTTCTCGTAAACTTTCTATAAGCCAGCAATCGATCTCCAAATAATTGTAGTCTAGTTATTATCTAGTTCTAGTTATTGTCCGTTTTTTCACTACCAGCTTACTGTATAACCTGTGTTCTGGTTTGATTTGATGGCAGGGAAATTACAAGGTTCGATAGACACTACCTCAAAAATGGCAACGCATAAGAAATACCATAAGCGTCATAATCATTCTCTATGCAATGGTAGTCATGTATATAAGCGACGTGTGAAGAAAGAATATCAAGACGACGAGCAAAGCAAACGGCGCCGGTATAGCAGAATACTGTAATGACTTATATTACATGTAAAAACAATATATTGTGTACAAAAAAGGTTAATAAAAGTTTCCAACGACGACGTTTACGATTTTCCTTTAGGTGGACCGTCAGGTAAATGCTATTCGAATTCTATTTGCAAGATGCTAGTGAATATACGGTAATATAATTTGGCAATTGATAGCTGATGCTTATAAAAAATTAACGAAAGATCCATGAAGTCGTTTTTGCGTTTTGATTTCTTCAAAGTAGTAAAGAGTGTTCTATTTTGGGTTAAGTAATTAAACAAATTAACTATAATTTCTAATTTCTATAATTATTTGTAATAAACTCACATTCTTGACGATAAAATAATTTACATAAATCAATATAATTATCTATGCTAAAAATAGAATAACTAAATAGTAATATACTTTATTGATATGATTTCAATAGTGGTAACATTTTGAAAATTAAAAAAGAATTATGTAGGTAAGTACATAATAATATGGATGTTAGACATTTGAGACGGCGGGATTCCATTCTGCTTTATTTAATTTTTTGCAATCCATATTTGAAACTACTTTATGAAAATAATCAGGTATGAAAAATAGCCATTTTTAAAATGTACAATATTGCGAAAATGAAAAGGAAATATTAAAAATAAGAAATACGACAATCCCGCCATCTGTAGATACATTATGACAAAAATAAACAAACCTTTACAAAACCGTAACAAATTGAAATTAAAACGATTATTCAATCTGTTTCGGCCACAGAATATTAATATCCCTTCAAAAGGAGTATGAATCATTATTCAATTGAGTAACAATATACTTCGCGTAAGTACAGTCGTAAACAAGGATGTTATGGATATGATATTTCGGATATAGGATTGATTATTATACCGGATACGGATGGGGATATGAAATTATTTCGGATTATCCGTTAGTTTCGGATAATTTCAGTTACGGATATTAATGTTTTAAGAAATTTCAAAAGTAAAATACAAATACCAAATAAAATCGTTACAGAATGTGTCTCAATTACGCTCCGTCCCTATCCGATATTGTCCGAAACTTTTATTTCGGATTCGGTTACGGTTACGGATATTTTATTATATCGGATATCTGATAGTTTCGGTTAGGGTTACAGAGCTCGTTAACATCCCTGGTCGTAGATGTTAGCACTGCACAAATAACTTATTCGCATTAGGTACTAGTTTTACCGCGCAATTTTCACAACTTATTGGAATTTTATAATTTTCAGTTACATGGGCTCTTTAGTATTTAACTTACATGTTTTAAAAATATAAATAATTTCTTTTAGGTAATCTCAATTTTAGATATTTTAATGGAAAAAATACGATCGAAATATTTACAGCGGGTGTTTTTTATATTATGGATGTTTACGTATTTTCAAAGAAAACTATACAGTTAACTAGCATCCATTACTCCAGCCTTGTTAAGTTCGGGTCTATAGTGGATGGCGCTGTTTGAGTTGTAAGTTGTTATTTACATAACCCTAACATTTTTTTATGAATAAAAATTTAATTATCACTGTGACAAAAATACATTATAATTTCTAGTTAACCAAAGTTTCAACGATATTCACAATACGCTTTGCGCGTTTAACTATTAAAAAATTAGCAAATTAATTTGGGGATAGTTAAATTCTAATTTTCGAAACTTTGTTTCCTAATTGACAAAATAATGGAATCCTAACGCTAAGGTAATGATAGCACCATGAACGTGTGTAGTGGGCACCAAATCAATCTCGTAGAATGGACCTCAATACTAAAACATGCATTCTAATTAACTTCATATGTATTTAAGTGCGTTAATACGTGAAATGCAATATTGCACTATACCACTGGTAAACATATTATATATTTTAATATATATATCGAATTCTACTAATTGAGTTTCGTCTCTGTATGAATTGAAGAGAATAGTTTCAAAAATATTGATTTAATTAAACCATTCAATAAATAAGATTTGTCATGAATAAGTCTATCATATATATATATTATATTCAAACTACGCCATATTCCTGTCGCGAAATACTGTTCATAAAGGGAATAACACGTATTGGATACGACCGACGTAACAGTATATTCTGTGATGACCACACGCATAAAGGACAACGTAAATAATCTTACTTAATTTACAATCAGGTAATAAATGCCAATTTCTATTAAGACATGAATCACAGCACGTTATCATAATCTACTGGTAACATACAGAAAATGGATTTATACAACATCTTAAAGAATTTACATTAGGAAGCACCATTTGTAACTAGATATATATGTGTATCTTGTAATTAAAACAGACTTCACTCTGAACTAGATCACTATGAAAATAAAATCCAGAGCAGAATTGATGAAAAGAATCTAGTAACATGCACATGCAAGAAATTCATGCAAAAATTTCGCTCCAGGTAAGAGAATTGTTCATAATCATCATCAGATTGACTTCCACGCAGTTTCCCATGGAAACCATCATGATAATTTCGTAGTAAATTTGTCGCGATGAACTAACTGACCTGACCTCATTCTCATGTTATCATTTTCCACTGGTGCCCCTACATCGGAAACCGTTAGCGTAAGCGGGTGCACCATTTGATTATCATCCATTAAACCCGAAAATAAATTTCCTTCTCTTCGGAACAAAATCCACGCTATCGATAATAGGTTCATTATCTTTAATATTTTCTGGAAAACGCAATGGCGATATTCCTATTGTATATATAATACTAAACACAAATACATTTAGTATCGACGAGCCTGCGTCGATTCTATGTATAGTTATAACTAGCTGACTGATAATAGAGGTAAATAATAATTAACAAATGCATAATTTGTTAGTGCCGAATCATAAAATAATAAACATATTTTTTTATCAAAATAATAAATATAAATATTAGGGGTGGGTCACCCTTATTATTGAGGGGTATAAAAATAGATATTGGCCGATACTCAGACCTACCTGATATGCACACAAAATTTCATAAAAATCGGTAAAGCCGTTTTGGCTGAGTTTGATAACAAACACCTCGACACGACAATTTTATATATTAGATAATAAAATTAATTGACACATTTAAATATATAAGTAAGTAACACTTTCATGGCCAAATTCGTTGAGCAAAACAATATCAAAAAAACTTTATTTTCATATGCGACTAAAATGTCTACATGAATAAATGACATTATAATTTGAATTTGCAGTAATTATTACATCAATTTTTTTGCATAAATTTAATAATAAGTACGAAATTGACAAATAGCACCTTAGTAAGTACAGAATAAAGATACAATTCGAGTGAGTCGAACATTACAATTGAAATACTTAATAAATTTTTCATTCATGTGATGTCACATAAAATAATGTACAATAATACATTTGAATTACATTAAACTCCATTTCTCCGCATGCTTGCATATAAAATTAATAATAATAGAAATAATACCACTTTTTCATACAGAAATAGCCTATAGAAATAACATTTCTACATGACAGAACTTTTGGCGGGAAATTGTTAAATATCTTCACTAATTATTATACACTGTAAAATAAACTTTCTTTAAAATAAAAAAAAAGAAATAAATTTTACTACAAAATAATTTGTATCTATTTCACTATACATAGAGATCCATGGTTTAAAAAAAAACAAATTATCTATTAAACTGTATACAAAGTAACATATCTTTGATCGTTTGTAAAACAAATATAAATTAATATTAATAAATATAAAATACTGATCAGTAAAAATAATTCGAATATAAAACGAAGGCAACATTGGCTTCATAATCTCTTCACAGGTCCTTCTTTTGCTGTTGTTTTTTGTAGCTCTGTAAAAAATATTTATTTTTTTATTTTATTTATTTATTTTGGAAAACCAAGGCTATTTACAAACATAGTTATAAACATAATTAAATCAGAACGGCCACTTACAGGTGTTCACGGATAGAAACGTAATATAAAATAAATTACAGTACTAACACGTGAGGCCTGTATGTGTCATAAGTACTCATAAAATCATATAGCAAAAAATAACAATCTACTAAATTAAAACATATGCTGAAACTAACAAACAAACATTTTTAAATAATGGAAATGCATATAAGTAACATCAAATTAGATACTTATAAATCAAAGAATTGCCTGCTCATCACGGCCCTCGCTAAAGATATTCTATCGGAAAACAAATCAATATCTAATACCCTACTTAATCTATTGAAGTTATTATTTATATATTAGATTAAAAAATAAACATAATTTTGTGACAGCCTCGCATTGGATACTGCTTTACTGTCGAAGGTTACAGGTTCGATTCTCGAACAACATTAACACTTGATTTCATCAGATTATTGTCGACGAAGTGAGTCCTAGACCTAAACCTTAAAGGGATGTATACACATATTCCCTTAAAAGCGTAAGACTCAACTCAAAATGTGGACATATCAAGTGTTTAAATTTTATTGAGTACATTTGATTACAACGTGAAAAATCTCATTGCGACTGAAAGCTTGATCCCAACTAGACAATCCAGGATAAATTGTATACACAAAGTACAGTACAGTACAGTTGCAGCTAAGAAGAATTATCTATAGTAAATTATATATAATAGTGTTGTACGTTAATAATATATAGTAGTGAAGAAATAACAATCCAGATTTACGAGAGACAAATAATAATAAAGAAAGAACAAACCTCTTCGGCCATCTTGTACAGCATAGCAGCCGTCTCTTTACCAGTTTGTTCCACTAACGTCTTGAAAATACCCACACTGTCTTGATCACTGACTTCAGATCTGAAAATATATTTTACAGTTTATTATAATTAATACTGAACTATTTATATTATATTATATAGCGGACGAAGTCGCGGAATCAGCTAGTAAGCTGTTCCCGCGAAGTGCAATTCCGAAATTTCGGATCGATATTTCGTGTGATTCGTACCATGAAAAACGTTCATTCCGAAATCGTCCCCGAAAACGGAGAATATCGTTTCGATCGTCCCACTGTTCCTGCGTCTTCGTCCGCTTGGAATTTAACATGATTTTTCAAAAATTTTTTTTTATTAAATAAAAGTAGCCTATGTTACTCCTTATCACATCAGGCTACCTGCCAAAAAAAGTCCCGTCAAAATCGGTCCAGCCATTTCAGAGATTAGCTGGAACAAACAGACCGACAGACAGACAGACAAAAATTGTAAAAAAAATATTTTAGTGTATGTACCGTATTTATATTCGTATGCATGTAGTAAAATACAGTTTTTTCAATATTACAAACAGACACTTCAATTTTATTTATATGTATAGATTATATAATAAATAAATAACCCTGGACAATAAATACAGCGCCATCTAGTCCCATGGTAAGCAGAGCTTGTGTTATGAGTACTTGACAACTAATATAAATAGCAAAAAACTGGTTTAATTTTTTTGTAAATACATACATAATATAGCTGGGGATCACCCAGAGCGTTACAAAAATCATACGCATGAATACAAATGTTTGTGCCGTGCGAGGAATCGAACCCGCGACCATTTGAAGTAAAGCGGTGTGCTAAACCTCTAGACCACCGACGGATGAGCCAGCAATCACTGCTCTCGATCATATTTTAGGGCGAAAAAGGCAATTGTAGTTAAGACGAAAACAGTAAATTTATTAAATTCCCAAATACAGTATAAAGTTAGCAGATTGAACTGACATACAATATACGTGGCTCCATAAGTAAATTAAATCACATATGCCAGAGTCTGTCCTCAATTTTCATTGTCCAGAAAAAATAATCAAATGTCTTATAAAATATATTTGTAAGAAGCTTATTATAAAATTGCAGAATTTATAAATGATACTAATGATTTTGTAGAAAAAATCTAACTTAAAATTCATAGCGCTGACAATGTTATCTGATTGAACAAAGATCGGTTTCTATGTTGATTGTCACATGCCTAATCCTTGTCAAACCAAATCTATTTAAAACAATATTTATTTAAAAGAGCAACACAAATGTTTCTTGCTCATTCTTCTTATGATGAGTCTGCATTCCAAATGAGCCATAGAATAAAAAAATGTGATTATTCAAAAATACTTGTACTAAGTTTATTTCTATATTACAGTATATGAAGTTACCTATTGGAGTAGGTCCTCAGCCGGTTCCTAACAACAGGAGGGCCAGCATCTTCGTGTTCCGACCGCTGATCGAACGCAAAGTTCTCAGGTATCGCCAGTGGGGCCTGTCGTAAAAAAACAATATTTGCCTATTAAACATATATTAATAAGAGCTCACGTGGATTAAATTGAGTATAATAAATTTGGAAATGTTGCACAATTATATTAAGTAAAATTTAAATAAATAATTGCTTGAGGGCACGGTGAATAGTATATACATACAAATCAGATATGAATACAGACTTGATATTTATTATATAAATTATTTAATATTGATATAATAAATATCAAGATATTTATTATATTTATTGGACCGGAAGACGCAGCGTGGGAAGGTCTCCAGCAAGGTGGACCGACGATCTGGTCAAGATCGCTGGAAGGCATTGGATGCGAGCAGCGCAGGACCGATCGTCGTGGAGTTCTTTGGGGGAGGCCTATGTCCAGCAGTGGACGTTTTCCGGGCTGCGATGATGATGATGATGATGATTATATTTATTACAGATCTTGCATATTTATTAGAATGGTATCACTTGGTTACACTACAATGAAATGCTCAGTGGAAATTACTTTCAGAGTTACCAGTAGAATTTAAGTTTGAAACTATAATAGCTAGTATTTTTATAGTTATTATAAATATATTTATTTATTTAACTTTAATACACGCTATACAAATGTAGTATTTTACCATTATACCATTCAAGTAGTAAATATAATAAATGAAAAACAAAATGCATGAAAATATATACAAAAACAATATTTTTTGATACTACATAGGTAGGTATAAAAAGCTTTTGGCCCATCTGATGGTAAACGGTTATCGTAGCCTATTGACGCTTATGACCCGTGCGCATTGATGACCCTTAAGAACCATAATATACCCTTCTTGGAAAACCTCATGCTGTAATATCGGAAGAAAATCTCGGTAAGTAGTTCATACCATAATCTAAAAGATGCCCCTTAGATATGAACCTAAGGGATACAATAATGTATTACATAAATATATACAAATATTATAAAATTATATAATCATAAAATAAAACGTATATTATAAATTTGTAGGATTAACAATAAATTTTAACATCCCGACTGACATAATGTTCTTAATTTACCTGACTTTTGGTCAAAACCATTTCGCTTGGGCCGCGCTGTAATATCGGAAGAACAATCTCGTACGGATTCCCGTCATCAATCTAATAAAATATCGCCCTCTTAATATAACGATAAGAGTTTTAACACATTTTAAACATAAACTACAACTAAATATATTAATAATTATAAAATAAACACTAAATATACGGGTTATATATATAAATATATATAATAAAGTTGAAACGTAGTGACTCTGAACGCACAGCCCAAACACTGGATGAATTTAAAAACAAAGGTGTTATGACGTAGGTATCTAAGTAACATTTAAATAAGATTTTGATTAATTCTACCCCCAAGGGGATAAAATAGGGGATGAAAGTTTGTATGAAACTGTCAATTTTAAACCGATCTGAGACTTTTATTATTAAATCTACTTATGACGTAAGACATCCCCTAAGAAAGGATTTTGATAAATTCCACCCCTAAGGGGATAAATTAACGCGAGCGAAGCCGCGAGCAAAAGCTAGTAAATTATAAATTTGTAGGAATAACAATAAATTTTAATTTTAAAACATCCCGACTGGCATAAAGATTTCTTAATTTATGACATATTATTATTATAAGTGACCAGTTGTCGGGGCCGCTCGATTATTCTGAGTCAATTTACTATACGGATGTCCCGTTTCAACTACACGCCCTCTGCAACACAACGATAAGAATTTTAAAACGTTTTAAACATAAAATATAACTAAATCATAGACAAAAATTGAGAATAAATTTAAATATAAATAATAATAATAAATAAATAACTCTGAACAATTAACACCCATGAATTTACAAAACAAAAAGAATCTATAACAGTTGTCTAGTACCCATAACACACACTGCTTCGCGTGAGACTAGATGGCGCTGTGAGAATTATTCTTGAGATATTATTATTATATCTACTTTCTTTTAACTCTCGAAAATGTTCTTCTTAATTTAGAGTTACGGATCATACTGACCGAGTAATACTAAATATCTTTAGTTAACTATTTTCTGTATGGGCGTGTAAAAACTTACTATATAACATATTATTATTATAAGTGACTAGTTGTCCCGCGGAACTTCGTCTGCATCACACTTTCTTAACATTTATCATTATATTTCGGCCAATTTACATATTTTTTAAAATTATAACCTACTAGCTACTCGCCCCGGATTCGCACGGGTGTACATGTATTATATATATAAACCTTCCTTTGAATTTGAATCACTATTAAAAAACCACTTCAAAATCCGTTGCGTAGTTTGTTTTATACAGACCGCGAAGTTGTTTTATACTGTGTAATAATATGTTATTGATTGATGATTGATGTATAAGCTATATTACTGTGAAGTTTCATAAAAATCCGTTCAGTAGTTTTTCCGTGAAAGAGTAACAAACATCCATCCATACTCACAAACATTCGTGTTTATAATATCAGTAACATTTAAATAATGCATTATTAAAATTTTCGTTCCAAACAAAGCGCATATATTATTGCCCTCCGACGTGGCTCGGTGGCACAATGCTGCATTATCACAGCGAGATCATTAACCGAGTGCATTCTTGCTGAAAACTAATAGATTCCACGTTGCATATACGAGGATATAGTGGAACGCTTGGTAGCACACTAACTCACACTAACTCTTTAATCTGTGCTTATATTAACCAAGATAAAAATCAGTTTTTATAGCACAGTTTTTTTACAATATGAGTAAGATTCAGATTGCCTGAATGTAACTTACTTGTCCATCACTATGATCCTATCGTAGTCCATAACAGTGTGGAGACGATGAGCGATGGTCAGCACCGTCGAGTTGGCGAACTTTGTGCGTATTGTTTTTTGAATGTGTTTATCAGTTCTGTAAGTATATATTAAATAATATTACCCATTTATATCAAGTATATTGACTCTCTGTATTATATATATTGCACCATTATGTTATATTTATATATAAACTGACTGGTGCAATTTTATTTCTGTTTTTCATACGTGCTCCGTTCGTAGCGGACATCGAGTGATTTACCATACATCAGCCTTTGTATATAGTTAATGTATTGCATATACAAAACATATAAAATAGCATATGCTGATGGTCACTACATTCTCCCTAATTGAAATTCAGAATGAATCAGAATTTTTGCAATCATGTACAAGTTCATTTAAAAAGAATAAGAGTTGAGTTTCTTGTCAGTTCTTAGCTCTAAAGCGGTCTGAACTGATGGTAGATAAGATATTTGAAATATTTGATAAGATTTTATAAAGATATTTTGAATCGATTGGAACACGAAAACAGATTAAAAATTCGACCCAGAAATTAATGCGTTCAACAAAATAAACAAACTCTTTACATATATATTGTTCTAGAATAATTATAACAAACAATGGTTTCGGAGCTATGATTTTGTGGTGTGGGGTGTGTCGGGACGTATCGTAGTCCAGGCGCGGAGTACTGACTCGGGGTCGACGCTGGCGGTGGCCTCGTCCAGCACGAGGACCGTGGCGCGGGCGAGTGCGGCGCGCGCCAGGCACACGAGCTGCCGCTGGCCGCCCGACAGCGCTCCGCCGCCGTCCCCCACGCGGCTGCTCAGCCCGCCCGCCAGCCGCGACACCAGCGACCGCAGCTCCACCTGCCACCACGACGACTATTATAATATTCTCTATAGCACTTACGTTACCACACATAAAAAACGTGTTACAGTACATACATGAGATTCGATTAGATTAAAACATATTTTTGGCTCGGTACTTTAACTCAATGGTCTACTTCGTCGAGAGCCTGGAAGCTCGAAATGATACAGTCGACGGACAGAACGGAAATATGCGTTTATTGTATACGCGCTACAACATCGAGTGGCGGAAAGAACTGCCTGCCGAGGTTCTCTCGCAAGACTACGGCATGGGTTCTTTCAAGAAGCGTATACTATAGTTTCTTAAGGGTCGGCGAGACGCACGTAACACCCCCGGTGTCGACGTCCATAAACTACTACTACTACGCTAGTAGTATAAAAAAGTGTAGTGGTCACCTGGTCGAGCGCGTCGAGCAGCTGCGCGTCGGAGTAGTGCCGGCGCGGGTCGAGGTTGTCGCGCAGGGCTCCGGCGAACAGCGCGGGCCGCTGCGGCAGCGCCGCCAGCCGCGCGCGCCACGCCCGCAGCCCCGCCTCCCCCGCGCACACCCCGTCCACAAGCACCGCCCCCTCCGTGGGGCACAGCCTGCCCACGGTCACGTCTTTATTAAACCACCACGCCCGCACATACACGACACCGTCCTCGCCGGGGAAGTCGACGACCTCGATCACACCATACGGCGCAATCGATCGAGAGCTCAAACCGTTACGCAAACTTCAGCCTTATCTCATACACATTACCTCGTTAAGTACAAATATCGATACATAAAAGCATTATCGATGACCCTACATTTAAATTTAGTACGAAAATAATGTAAACACAAATTTGAATATGGAATGCTTATAAATGTAATTAGATTTTTTTTCTAGTTCTGATTTTCCCGTCCCAGGGAAAGGCAAAAGGACTCATCTTTCCTATAATCCAACCATCTTCTGTTCGATCATCCTCTCGCTTTCCATCCACATTCATGTTATATAATATTTGTCATTCCAATTATATAAAAAATATAATATAATTTATTCAAATAAACTTATATTGTAGTACTTTTGAATAGTCATCACACATTTTTTCTATCTATTGCTCATTCTGAAAGCTGTCTCGTCGCAAGAACTAGGTACAAGAAATTTGCGTGCTGCTCTTTGTTACTTTACATTTTTAAGCTGAAGTATGTGAATACAAACTATACCAACTAGCACTAATTTAATTAAATACTCAAATAGAGAAAATATTAAATATACGACCGATTGGTTGAGTAACTAAACAAGACTAAATCAGTCGTAGTGACCAGAGACCAGACCAGACCAGTCCCTACAAGCAGCACTCGTTCACGACTATGACTGATGAGCCAGCCATCACTGCGCTCGACCATATTTTAGAGAGAAAAGCTATACATACCCAAACAGAGCGTTGATAAGCGAGCTCTTCCCAGCACCAGTTCTTCCCACCACAGCGACCTTCTCTGCTGGATGGATGGTGAAGCTCACACCTTTTATAGCATACACAGGCTCGTCAGGTTTCTCGCCTGACTTCACTTGTTCATCTCTCTTTGGTGGACGCTCGTATTGAAGGCTCACGTTATCGAAGACTATCTCCCCTGAAAAATTCATTTCACATCACTATATTTAACAAGAGACCGTCAAGCCTAGCCTAATCGATTTACAGACACCAAAGGCCGTGAGTTCAAGTCTAAAAAAATTTTGTGTCAATTTATATTTATAACTTAATAGCGGCGGGGGGAAAAGATGATTGTTAGTAATGATGACTGAAATCTTATTGCTAGCAATGTATACCAAGTGATAAATTCTTGGTGAATTTGTCACGATGGGCTAACCGACCTGACTTCATGCTCATCTTAGTATCCTCTACTGGTGCTCCGTCAGCGTAAACCTTTAGCGCAAGCGGGTGCACCATTCCATTATCATCCATAAAAAAAACTTAATAGCGGCGTGACGTAATCCCCTTCGGATTGTTACTAATTTAGATAGTTGACCCTATTGCTAGCAATGTATGGTACGTCACCCCGACATGATCACAACGCGTTTTCCCTTGGAAACCAGCGTGCTGAATTTATCACGATCAACTATAAGAAAACAAGTAGGTAATGCACCTACATCCAACCATCAAATCAAATCAAAACTAATTAACTCATGTAGGGCATTTTAGTCGTTTATGAACGTTAATTATTTTATAATAATATTTTTTCCATACCGTCCAGTTCAGTATTCAGATTTGAAAAAACTGGCAAGAAACTCAAGAGAGAATTTCTTTTTTTTAAGCCAATTTATTGTGTACTTATGTAGGTGTCTATGTTTAACATTATATAAAAACTCTGTTTATGTACATTTATTGCCATTTTTAAGCATCAATTTCTATATATGAAAAGAATTACCTTTACTGGGCCATTTGTCGAAATCCAAGTCGGGATGGTTGGCCCTTAGGGCCTTCTGGTTCACATCCACCGGACTCTCTGGCGGCAAGTTCTGGTACTCCAGGATCCTCTCTACCTGTGTTCAAGCAAACTTCGTCCTTATCCTCATGTTTATAAATATTTTTTTTATTCGCTAGTTACAGAGGTCACTGTTAGAGGATCAAAAATATGTGTTTAACTTAAAGTAATTAATTTAAATTTAATACGAATTGACAATGTCGATGATCTAGCAGTTTAGCACACTACTTTAAGTCCAATGGTCGCGGGTTCGATTCCTCGCACGGTACAAACATTTGTATTCATGAGTATTATTGTTTGTATTAATCTAGGTGTTTTCTACGTATATTATGTGTGCATTTACAAAAAAAAAAATATCTATATCAAGTGTAGCATAACACATGCTCTGCTTAGCTTAGGACTAGATGGCGCTGTGTTAATTATCTTCGGCCGTCTGTACATGTACACTATTTATATTACAAGAAATTTAAAAAAAAAAAACAATTCGTGTAAATATCTATGTAAGATGTTGCGGGTAAATGATACGATGTTGTTGGTAGAGACGATGTATATTAAAGATTATATTAGATCATATGTACATAGAAATATTGATCATATATACTAAATGACAATAGGAAAATGTAAGGTGGGGTGACACAGTTTAGACACAGCAGTACTTAGTACACAATATTGGATTTGTCTTACTAAACATTATTAAATGCAAATATTATTTTGATATATCTAGGTAACTGTGTCACACATAATATATACATCTAGTATTACTCACAGAGGTCATCTGGTTCTCCACTTCGGCGGTTTGTCGCATCCCATATTGACACATGCCGACAAGTCCTATCACTTGCGTGACAGCCAAGCCCACGTTGCCGCCTAGAGAGTCTGCAATTAGAGGCGATTGCGTCACTACTAGTTACTAATTGTTAAGTTATAGTGAAAAGTATCTGAATTTTATATCTGTGGAATATTGTTATCTATGGTAAAAACTGAATAAAGTACGGTTCGGTCTTGACATCTTCCTTCTTGGATGAATGGCCGACGAGCAACAAGTTCAAAGCGTGTTTAATTATTGTAATCCCAAAAATACAATAAAAGGTGTCTTGCTTATGAAAGAAGCACTATTTATCATGGACGACTGAGACTTTGAAGCCGTTTACCGTAAGGGAAACCCCAAGTAGCGCCCGTGACTTGTGACACGGGTGTGGGTTTAAAAGGCCCTTTTAGAATGCATTAACACTCACCTTCACTACTTGCAGCTTCCCCCCAGGCCCAACTAAGACCGGGATAAACCCATTGCTAATACAATTCCCTTTAATATCCAAAACACAACTGACACGCTCTGCGCTCGTTGACTGAATGCCGCGGCTCACGCAACGAAAGAGGATTATTCAACTACCGACCTCCGTATTTATAGACCAAAGTCAGTGTAGTTGGTTAGTCTATAAATACTAGATGGCGCTATTTACAATATTCGTAATAATCCTTACATTGGGTACTTCATTAGTACTAAAAACAAACTACCTTCTTTTAATATATTTTTAAATATCGGATTTTTTCTACAATAATGATGTGAATTCTAACACTTAGGAATAATTCCGTAATATTTTTTTAAGACTATGTTGTTTTATGATAATAATTCACCAAGATCATCACCGCACATATGGAATGTCATTGCAATTAATTAACAGTAATTTCTAATAACTTTATTTCTAATAATTTCTAACTTATCATGACAGGTGCACAGAGAGAAGCTGAAGGCGACGAATGCGAGGGTCATCACCATTTAAAGAACTAAACCGTCAATTAATATTTATCTTACCATCACTGGTGAACAGAAAGAAGCTGAAGGTGACGAATGCGAGGGTCACCTCCATTTAAAGTACTAAACCGTCAATTAATATTTATCTTACCATCACTGGTGAACAGAAAGAAGCTGAAGGCGACGAATGCGAGGGTCACCACCATTTAAAGAACTAAAGAAGTAAACCGCCAATAATTATTTATCTTACCATCACTGGTGAACAGAAAGAAACTGAAGGTGACGAATGCGAAGGTCACCACCATTTAAAGAACTAAAGAACTAAACCGCCAATAAATTTCCGTCTTACCATCACCGGTGAACAGGAAAAAGCTGAAGGTGACGAACGCAAGGTAGAGACAGCAGGTCATGTCCATCCACCACGCGAACGCCCTGTTGGTGGTGAGCACGAGGGTCCACACTGACGAGTGCAAGTCTTGGAGCTTGTCGAACTCTCGCGCCAGGGTCCGCTGCTGCTCCCGAGCTGAACGGATCGTGGTCAGACCGGAGACTGTGGCCGCCGCGTGGTTGAGAGACTGACTGCGGGCTGATCGTATTGTACAGATTATATATATAATATTGCTGTATTTATTCTATATCTTATATATAAAATTTGTGTCACAGTTTTCGTTCCCATACTCCCCCGAAACGGCTTGACCGATTCTCATGAAATTTTATGAACGTATTGAGTAGGTCTGAAAATCGGCCAACATCTATTTTTCATCCCCCTAAAAGTTAGGGATAGTCCACCCCTAAATTTTTTTTATTTTAAGGCAAAACAACGTTTGCCGGGACAGCTAGTATTTACATAAAAATGACACTCAGCGTTATGCATGCGGAAAACAACGTACACCGATGCAATACACACATATATACGCACGCACGCACGTACGCACGCACGCACAAACACACATGCTCTAAAGCTCATAAATTAAATGTATATATAGTTTTTAAAACAGATGGTGTATATCATGTTGTGCCTTTAAGAAGTAATATTAATTTGTTTTTATATGTGTTAAATTATGAATGAGTAGTATTAATAAGTATATTTTCACTCTTCTACCATCGCAATATTTTTAATTACGATATTAAATTTATATGCAAAACAACGTTTGTCAGGTCAGTTAGTTAATATATAAGTATAAATTTACCGATAGCTTCAATCCGCTTCAACTCCCTGCTCGTGCACAAGAACAACCCTCGGAGGAGAAACAGCAGCACCGCCATCACAGCCGTGGGCACCAGCAACCACCAGTTCACCAGGCACACCACCACCAGAATCGACAGCACTTCGAACAGGAACTGAGGAGCAGAAAAACCTCATAATATTTTTTTCCTCAGAACAATTCACACAGCGCCAACTAGACCCAAGTTAAGTTAAAGCTTGTGTTATTAGTACTAGATAATTAGATCACTGATACAAATACATATATACTCATGAATACAAATGTTTGTGCCGTGCGAGGAATCGTACCCACGACCATCGGTATGTATTTACGAAAATTATCTATGTATTTGTATCAGTAGTCTAGTACCCATAACACAAGCTTTAGTTAGTTTAACTTGGGTTTAGATGACGCTGTGTGAATTGTCCTGAGATTATTATTATTATTATTTTTCTTTATATATATATATATTATATATCTCCCTTTTTATTATTATATAATAATAATAATAACCCGACTCTGGCACTTACAAAAAGTAACAATAGTCCCAATCGTCCTCTCAACTACAGGTGTCATACCGAAACACATGCATCAGTCACTAAATACCTTGAACTTGCCCCCTAATATATACTGCCAACTACAGAAGGCTGTAGTTCTAAACACATGCCGCATTGTTAGAAAGTTTCTACAAACAGATTAGGCCTACATTTGTATTATGGTATATCCACCTAAGATAGAACATTGTTATGTACTTGGCTTAGGCCCATACATACCAAGATTACCGGCGAAAGTCGAGAAAAAATAATATAAAAGAATAAGTCCCTCTAAGTACCCCAAAAATATTTTAAAAAAGTTAATAAATGAGATCTCCAATTATTTATTAGTATAGGACCTTTTGTAGTTTTGTTTTTTTATTACTATCCCTATGGAATGTCATGTATATACATAATGGTTTCTACTTAGACATTAGCAGTCAACTTTTGCCTTTCTTATTATAGAAAAAAAAAGTACTTACACCAAGACAGTCGACCAGGGCGACAGGCAGCAGTGTATCGACTTGGCCCATATCCTTCGAGAACCGATTCAGTATTCGGCCGGACGGGTTGTGATGGAAGAACCACATTGGCGCGTTCGTTACACCCCTGTATAAATAAAACAATTGCTATATTTGGATGATATTTTTTAAGGTTCGGAAAAATTAGGGCATGTAAACTATATCTATACATATAAATAAAATTTGAGTGTCTGTTTGTAATATTGAAATAACCGTTTTTTAGTACATGCATATGAATATAAATACGGTACATACACCAAAATATCTATTTTACAATTTTTATCTGTCAGTCTGTCGGTATGTTTGTTCCGGCTAATCTCTGAAATGGCTGGATCGATTTTGACGGGACTTTTTTTTGGTAGGTAGTTGATGTAATAAGGAGTAACTTAGTCTACTTTTATTTTATAAAAATAAAATAAAATTCCACGCGGACGAAGTCGCGGGAACAGCTAGTGTATAATAAAAACCCACTATAGTAAACTATAACTATAATTATATTAGGCGATTTGAATTTTCTTTAAAAATTTCAGTAGAAAGTTCTACTCACTATGTTTTATATAGTGCAGGATAGGTACGCGGTACGTATATTTGTACACATCGATGAGTGAGCTTGATAAAAAATGTCAAAACGGCCTTCAAAACAAACGTCCAGCCATGCGCACAAACTTTTTACGTACTTACCTGAACATAGAGTCGTGGAGAGTGACGGAGGCCCGGATGCAGGTGTTGTAGAAGATGACCAGCTTGTTCCAGGTGAGGAAGATGCAGACCAGGATCAGTGAAGCGTACACGTAGACGCACTGCTCGCGGGTCAAGTGGAAGTGGTTGTTTGGCAGGTCTTGGAAGGTCACATCTGGGCAGGAATACTTTGATTACTTTCAGCCTTAATTTAACTTATGTTTTTAAAGTAACATTTACCATTAATTATGTGCCAAATATATATATTTATTTGGGATAATGACTGCTTTCTTACAACTATTATCGTTATTAACTGCTTCTTCCTTATCCCATTTATTTGTGATCGGCGTAATATGTCTTTCGCTTCCTTCGTGCCTGTTCGCAGTCATCTCGTTACTTACTCCCTTACTTGCCGTATCATCTTACGAAGAAGTTAGGGGTTGGTGGAAGGGTGAAAGTTTAAGGTATTTTTAATGCTGTATAATAAAATCAATGATGTGGACTTTCACTTGTATGAAAAATAATTTACGTCCTATTCTCAGCTCTATTAAATATACTCATAAAATTTCATAAGAATATGTCAAACAGATTTATTATTAAAAGGAGTAGAAAATAGAGGTGACTTACTTTGAATGGCTGTAATATTTTCCTTTATGACGTTGTTCAATAAACTGTCCTGATTGTCGGCATTATTTAAGTCGGTGGTTTGGTTTATAGCTGCATTTTGATTCACAATTTCGCCAAATTGACTAGTTACATTAAGTGTGTTGCCATTGGGACTGGTATAGTTAAAACCATCGGTTGTTAGACTTTGATTTCTTAATTTTCTCATTGCAGCACTATTAGCTTCTTCTAGATTAACCCTACAAAAAAAATTTGCTAAGTTCTAACTTTCAGTTACATAAACTTAATACATCTAAGCACTCTTGAATAGTCATATTTTTTTATGCTATCATTCATTCAGAGCGCAGACTCATCACAAGAAGAAAGAGTAAGAAACTTGTGTGTTGCTCTTTTTAATATATGTTATTTTAATTTAAATACATACACCGTAACAAGTATGAGGTATGCAATAATCAATATAGTGCTTATGACTTAAGTTTTGTCTACAAAAAGATTACTATCATTTACAAACTCTTCAATTTTATAATATGGGTTTTTTTACTAAGAAAATGTTTTTATGACATTTGAATGTTTTAAAGGTAGATTTAGAACAGACTCTGGTAGTTTTGTGGTATAACCTTACGTACCATAAAACGAATTACAAACTTTACTCACACGGCTTTCAAGTTTGTGTATAATGTATAAAAGTAGACTTATAAGAGATTTACTTTCTATTCATAACAGTAGACATGTGAATGTTGTTACGTTAATTGAATGAAAATGAATGAAAAATTTAAAAATATCTCTATATTTTTTCATAAAAGTAGATATGAAATAATGTTTACGAACTAAATTATGGATGAAAGAACGAATAATCAAGTTATTTAGATAGAGAATAATTTACCATTCCTTCAGCCACACGTCCGTAGAGGAATAGAACATTTGCGCGAGTATGAACAATCCGAACAACAGTAGCATTGTACATTTGTTGCCTCCGCTCCTTATGTACGACATATACACGCCGCTGTCCACGGAACCTTTCTTTTGACTTTCGCCTACAATAAAAAAATATATACTTAGTGTTACGTGTAATAAAAAAAATATATACTAAAATGCTAAACTTAGCTACTCGGCCCGGCTTCGCACTGGTGTACATGTATTATACACATAAACCTGCCTTTTGAATCACTCTATCTATTGCTAAAAACTGCATTATAATCCGTTGCGTAGTTTAAAAGATCTAAGCCAACAGACAGCGGAAGCGATTTCATTTTGTATTAAGTAAACATCTTATTAATATTATAAACGCGAAAGTTTGTGAGTATGTATGTTTGTTACTCTTTCACGCAAAAATTACTGAACGGATTTTGATGATACTTTACAATAATATAGCTTATGCATCAGAATAACATATAGTTTATATATTTTATTGAAATGTAACGCGGCGAAACCGCGGGCGTCGCTAGTAATATAATAACAACCCTTGACAATTCCCACGGCTCAACACATTTTTAGTTGTGGTAGGTTGTATGCAAATTAAAAAGTGGACCTTATTTCTAAAATCAAAAATTACCTTCGTATTTAGGGTCCAAATTGTTCTCCAGATCCAAATTGAACGAGAGTTGTGAAGCTTCCGACATCGACCTCTGCGAGCGTAACATGTAATTGTGTTCCTGTAAACATAAGCTTTACTATATAATTATATCAAACAATATATACTTCAGATAATTATGACTGTTCATCACTGTTGGCGACAGACCTCTTTTTATAGATATTTCTGTTTTTATACCATATATTTTTTATATACAATATATTTATATATTTTTTTTATTATATTGTTTTGCTACATTGTGTCATATATTCTACCACTAAATACATCATTCAAGTTTGGTAAGTAATTTTATTTATATTACTACCTAATTCACTGCCGTTGCCAGCCGTAATAATCACAATAGGATGCATATATTTTTACTTATTAAAATTTTAATGCACATGTACATAAATAAAACTGCATATGTCGAATATAATACCTTATGATATTCTTATAGTAACTTGTATAGTATTATTGTACCTTAAAATATTATTGTAATTTTTTACACGCCGGAAACGGCATGGCATGTTTGGAATAATTATAGTTTTCAGACCATTATGTATAAATAAATTGAATTGAATTATGGCATTTTCTCCCAGTCCACCATAAGGCCAACAGGTTAAGGACGGTGTATTTAAGTAAATAACATAAAATAAATATTAAAGGTAGTAATTATATATGCAATACTACAATATATAATAAACGGGTCTAATAAACCTATACATATATTATAGCTATTGAACTATTTTGTCCCTTTCTTTGAAGCTAATTTCATTATTTAAGAAAAAATTATGAATCAGTTAAATTTTATTTGAACGCTTAGATTCTAATCGAAAAAGGGTATGTTTTAAGAAGAATAATATTTAATTGCTACACTACAATAAGTCATAAAACTGGCGATACTTATTAAAAAATATTTTAGCTAGTTGAATCCTGGTAAATTCGCCACATTATCGTCCTATCATTTTACACTAGTGCCCCAAATGTGTACCATTAGAATAAGCTGGAGTATCAGCTCCAAAAGTATAGTTTACGTCACTAAAACTATGTAACTACTACAAACACAATTGAAACTAACACTTTTAATATCCACTTTTCTTTCTTCATTAACTCCCGCCACAATGCACACCTTGGTATGGAAATGTATAATATTAAATACGTTATAAAAAAAACGTAAACTCCTAACTGTGGAGACGATGAAAAAACAATTTCGCCTAACTAGGATAAAACATATTTTAGAGCAAATATTTTCTAAACTGGCTGATCGCACATGAAACACGTTTGGGCTTCTTATTAGTGTAGATATAAAATAAAAGTTCGACTTACGGTTGATAAATATGTATGTATATATTGTCCCAACACGTAAACATAGTTACACTTAGATAGGAAGAAAGTATATACAGTAGAAGGAGAAGAATATCACAAGCACAATAAAGAAATAAGCACAGAATGAATATAAGCACTAATGAATAAGGTGATATATGTAAATGAGAATAAGCAGAGCAATATCAATTACAGTACGGCCGATTTATCAAGCGAGTAGCGAGCGTTCCGCGTCATAGATAGTTCTCGACTGGTTTGGTAATATCGAATTGAATGTGCGCTCGCGCTGTTGGCCGGTTCCTCGGCGCGCTGATATTTTACATAGCGAACAAAAGAGTTGTGACGTCAACCTCTTATTGAGCGTTTCCACTGCACGCTGCAATTGTACTAGACGAACGGTACGGTTTAATATTGATAACAGTGTAAATAAATATTACGTATATATTTCTGTATAAGTATATGTATATTGTATATAATTAAGGTTATTATTATTAAATAATTGTATGTAATAAATATTTGTAAATAACTGTAAATAAATTTATGAAGCTGTGTATTTATGTGTGGGAATCGCCTACACACGTATAGTGTAAACGCTAATTTCAAAGTTATCTGCCTTTCTTTCGTTTTTTCTTCTTCTTCACTAATAATCTGTACCCAGTAATTTCACTGCACTATCGACAGAGGTATCTAAGCAGATGACTTTGTACTAATTCTCGACAGGGAAATTATCTGTAAGCACGTATTTGATTAAAAATATACAATAAAATATCATTAGACATTAGCCTCTAATCTCTAGAAATGAAGACAGAATGTAATTATTCTATTTAAAGTATAAACTCACCACAGACTCTTGCGTTTCGTAGGCGACAGCTTTTTGCTTCTGTTTTTCTTCTCCGACCTTCTCTCCCATTTCTATCAGCGCCTCGAATTCCGGCACACCATTCTTGAGTTCTTGGTAGGTGCCTTGGGCAACTATCTTTATAAAAAAATGTTAATTTTTTATTACCCAATTTACTTGAAGTTTTCGAATAATTACATATGTTTTAATGTTAATCAATATAAAATCATATGAGTATTGGTTTAAAGTATAAAATTCGCTACGCTCTGTCATTTAGTTGTGGAGCAGTAGTGAGTAAACAAACGGACAAAAACACTTTCATATTTATTACATTAGTAAAGTACATCCATAGGTCGCTGGTTCAATCCGGCTCGAAGGACCATATATTTAGCCCTAACCAGTTCTTCGGTAGGAAGACTGTATTATCGTAAATTATATAATAATAATGTACAATATGTGAAAGATTAAATATAGTAACGACGCATAAATAAAAATAATCTTATTTCTCATCACAAACAATAATGAATAATGAGAAGTGTGTACGCACCCGGCCTTCCCTCATAACGGCCACGTGGCTAGCGTGGCGCGCGAACTGCACGTGGTGCGTCACCAGCACCACCGCGCGGTCTCGCAGGTATCCTCGGATGCAGTCCTCGTAGATCGCTTGCGCCACCTGCAGCGTAAAACCGTGTTTTAGGGTTCCATATACAACCTATACTTTTTTTTTAAGTAAAATGGGAGAAATATTCTGATAGTTTGCCATTCAAATCTAGCCGGCTAGACGGCTTCCCAACGACAAGCAACTAATAACTAAACGTCTCTAGAGGTAAGCGTTGGCTATATACATGAACAACACAAGGTACATCACGTTATCACGTGACACCCACGATAACACTCTTCTGATGCCATTTCACTATAGACTAAGATGTCATGCCTCTTATCGTCCGTCCGTCGTCAGCCGTCAGCTTGTTACACAACTTTAGAACAGTTAGATATAATATAGTATGTATTAAATAACCCTAAACAATTAACACTGCGCCATTTAGTTCCACGATAAGCAAAGCTTGTGTTATGGGTAGACAGCTGATATAAATACATAATACACATAGATAACAAATAATGTACCGTGCGAGTAATCGAACCCGCGACCATAGGAAGAGAAGCGGTGTGTTAAACCGTTATATCACCGAAGCCGTATATATATGTATAGAGAAAAACATTATTTTTAGTATTTCTTTTTTATAAAAATGTAGTGAAACTTTTAAAGGTTAGTCTACACATGTACAAATAATAGTAAAACTTCTAAGGTTTTTTTTCTTCTATGAAAGTACTAATATTAATAGTTATTTCTTAGTAACAATAGCACACTACCAAATACCTTCGCATCCACTGCTGCTAGCGTATCGTCCAGTAGATAAACATCCGCGTTCTGGTAGACACATCGGGCCAGCGATATCCGCGCCCTCTGTCCACCGGACAACGACGTGCCTGTTCATCGTCATCAGAAAAAAATCTTTTTGTAAATTTTCTATTCATATAAAAGCGCTTATATCGTTGCCCCCGGAAGCAATGGGTGAAAACAGTGATCGGTACAACCTATGCTGTAAATAATATAATTGACGTAGTGGAGTAACCTGAAACAGTCATGCTCGCTATAAAGTTCAAACTTGTGGCGGCGTGGTGGGCCGGGTCGATGTGCTCCCTCAAATATGATTGAGTACAATGATGGCTGGCTCATACGTCATACTCGTGAACGGGTGCAGCTTGTGGGGACTGGTCTGTTCAGGTTGTGATCACTGATTATTTGTTCTTTGCGATAGCATATGCTGGTGGTCACTCTATTCTCGTACTTCCTTTCCTTCATTATGAAAAAAAATAATTTGTAGCTTTCTTCGTCAACCAAGACAAATTTGAATTTTAATAACTGTATTTATTATAAACATGTTCCACTATTATTTGAAAAAATATGAGCTGAGTTTCTTGTCAGTTCTTCTCATCTCGACATCATTCCGAACTGACGGTAGATTTGACATATCATAAGAGTCTGTAATAGACCTACATGAATAAAGATATTTTGAATTTGAATGCCAGGGCAACTCTACCTGCACCCTCTTAAGGGATGTGGATGAGCCGGTTCATTTTAATTAACCAGTTCATTAAAATTACCAGAATGTTTCTGGTAATATTATATGTATATTTAATATTTATATATTCAGAGGCATTGTCATCTGGTGCCATTTTTGTTATAGTTTGTATTGTGTATGTATAATCCATATCATGCATATTTTTATACATATATAAAACTACAAGGGATTATTTTTAATAATAAATAAATATAAATTTTGTTGAAACGCGTAGTTGATACTTGACAAATAAATATAATATCATCTTGTATTTTTTACATTGCACTGAATAAAACATTTTTCTTTATTTCTTTCTTCTTTCATAGAAATATAGGAAAATAAATGTCACCTCTTTCCCCAACGATGGTTTTGTCGCCGTGCGACAATATCTCCAAATCAGTCTTCAACTGGCAACACTTGATCACTTGTTTGTATCTGCGCAGATCCATGTCTTGACCGAATAGAATATTTTGACGCACCTGCCGAGTGTAAAAGTAGATTTACTCCGAGTCCGAAAATAACAACGTATTTAAGTTTAAAGGTAACTTACGTACTATGTTGCGTAAATGTATATAACATCTATAATAACATTTATAAATTAACTAGCAACTCGCCCTGGGTGCAAAATTTGTGCTTCGAGTATTAATATATAGATTTATATTATACTAGCTGGTTCCGCTACTTCGTCCGCGTGGAATTTAAGTTTATTTTTCTAAATTAAATGTTTTTTCTAAAATAAAAGTAGCCTAAGGTACTCCTTATTACATCAGCTACCTACCAAAAAAAGTCCCGTCAAAACCGGTCCAGCCATTTCAGAGATTAGCCAGAACAAACAGACAGACAGACAAAAATTGTAAAAAATGTTATTTTGGTGTATGTACCGTATTTACTAATATGCATGTAATTAAAAACCGTTATTTCAATATTACAAACAGACACTCCAATTTTATTTACATGTAGACAAAAAGCCAAATTATTTATATGTTTTATCTTTACAAGGTTTAAAACAAAGTCATTTAATTTACGCGACTAATGTTAATGCGGTTTTCAACAAAAACGTGACTCAAGAGAAAGATTTATAAATTTCCGAGAACTTCGAAGATTTGTAACGCATCCGTGCGAAGCCGAGACGGCTCGACCAATATAATATGGTACAAAAGGTGGACTTAATAATGGTATATCATTTTCTGCCCGTTACCTTTGGGAAGTACAGATTTCTTTTTAAAAAACATTTATAACTGATTTAATAAACGATGTTGGGAGCTCCACCGACAAGAGCACAGCTCTCAAATTATGAATGAATGAATAAAGGATGTACTTGATAATTACCGAAGCCTCGAAGAGCCAGGGCTCCTGTGAGGCGTATGCCACGACACCGTTGACCTGCAGGTGTCCCGCAGTAGGCGTCAGCTCGCGGAGTATCGCGTGCAGTAGTGTCGATTTACCCGACCCTACTGTCCCCACTATCGTTGTTAGGGATTCCGGTTTTATCTGAAAGCAATATCGAATCGTTTACGATTAAACACTCGAATAATTAATATATCTATGAATTACTTTTAAAGTCCGGCCGCTTAGAGTTTGCGCTTCTGACAGGTTGGGATCGAATAGGGGATGTAACTTTGAACTGACGTACAATTTAGGGCAAAAGTTGCCTTTACCGAGTGACAACATAAAAAATTTAATATATATTCCAATTTACAATAAACGTATCAATTTTGGGCTAAAATGATTAACTATTAACTACTTTACAAATGTAAAAACAATAGTTTATAAAAGATTATTATAAATGATTATTATAAATGAAACCACATCATTAAAATGATTTTTTTTAGGGATTTTTGATCACTAAAAAAATCATCACAAACAGTTCACATAAATTTTAAAAAGCGCAGTTTGTTGTACATAATTATACAGGACATATATAAACTTGTTAATATTTTGATTGAATAATTGTTTTTTTATTAGATTTATAAAGCAAGTCGTTTGACGATATTACGATTTATATTTGACGGAAGATTTAACTTATCATAATAAGTGACTATATTGTAGTAAATTAGTTAATATTTCGTATGAATTAATATTTTTCTATTATACTGTGTTTTTATCTGTGTTTTCTATGTATATTAAGTATGTATTTACGAAAAAAAAATATCTATGTATTTGTATCAGTTGTCTAGTACCCATAACACAAGCTTTAGCTAGCTTAACTTGGGTCTAGATGGTGCTGTGTGAATTGCCCTGAGATTATTATTATTATTATTATTATTATTATTCTTTATTTTTTCTCAGCTATTGCTGGTTTTCTCCACACTTACGGGCCGAAACCAAGTAAGTGATGTATGTGTGTTATTATTATTATTATTATTATTATTATTATTATTATTATACACAAAGTGAGCTGATTTGCAGCTATGTACAAAGTCTCTAGAGATCATTTACAAAATACTCACGTTTAAATTAATATCAGTGAGCGCGGCTACCTTCCTGTCCACCACTTTATCCTGACCTTCTTCATCCACGTTCCTCCAGTGTGCGGTGTAGTCCTTAATACTGACCATGTATTGAGGCTTCGGTTGCTCCAGCGTACTGTCTGATCGTATGTACGCTTGTTGACTGAAATATATAAATAATAAGAAAAAGCTATGAAAGGTTCAGTTAAGAATTGATGAAGAAATGGCATTTAACTATAGGGGATCAGTCGCTATTTAAGTATTACTATTGAGGGTCAGTCGTAAAAGGTATACCAAGCAGAAAATCATGTAAAATACTCATATAACCGAACAACGTTAATGAGAAACAAAGTGAAAATATAAAAAAAAGGGGTCTAAGGGTTGAAAGGAGAGATGAAAATTGTATAAAAGTATTGTCATTTTTAAAGCTAGAAGCTTGAAACTTATTTAGGCTGTTGATTAAATATAAATAAATATGACATTCAAAGTTTGTATAAAATATATAATAAAAATAAAATAGGGGAAATTCGCAATTTTTGAAGCTAGAACTATGAAATTTTCTCTTTGGCTTTCTTGTGTTAGAATATTAAATATTTTTTCTTTATTTGGTCCACTATTCCACGCAGACGAAGTCGCAAGTACAGCTAGTACATTATAACTATTTTCACTAAAAAAAATCACTCACCCATTCCCAATCTTCTCGAACACACCGTTGGCTTGCACCTTATCGATCGTCACCAAATCGACGCCATCTTTATTATCGATCTCGGTGAGTAAGAGGAACTCTTGCATCCTCTTCACACTCACGTACGCCTCCAACGTGAACGTGATCCCGAGCGGTAGAAAGTCTACGAGGGTGAACTTTAGCATTTCGTAATATGTGAATATAACGAACACTTTGGCCGCTGTTAAATCGTTGTTGAATGACAGATACGATATTATGCTTAGGAATATTGCCACTTTCGTGTTCAGCTTCACGCAGGAGATCATGACAGCGCGCAGCCAGGACATCTTCTTTATTACGTTCATTTCTTTTCTGAAACACAAAATTAAAGCTAAAAAAATATATTACAAGTAAGAGAAGACTTTTCAAAATTGATGCAACCCTTTCAGAGCAAGAACAAGCAGACAGACAATTTTTTTTTATATTATATTCCTATGAATATATACTTTCATATACATTTGCTGAAAAAATGACAATTTGAAATTAAAAACAAAAACTTCAATTTTTATAACATTTATAGTTTCCTTAAATTTTTTTAAATTTAAATTTAAACGTGTTTGACCGCATGGCCTAAGTTGAGTTTGCGTGTAACAATACACAAGCTCAATGCGCTGATATACCTAATATATAGACTAAGTATTCATAATACCATTTATCTTCGTATATCATTAAAATCCATTGTACTATTTAGACTGAAGTAGTCACGCGGTCCTCTATGTAATTCATAAGTAGGACCGCGTGGTGGTCTGAGTTATACATCTGTATCAAATTATTCCTCAATGTTTTTATAAGGTGTTTGTTCCTCACCTTCTGGCCTTCCCTATGATCCCGGCGAAGGCATCCTCCCACGCGTACATCTTGATCGCCTCGATGCTCTGTATCACCTCATTCATCAGTCTAATCCGGTTGTCTGTCCGGATGGCTGTCTGCCTGCGGAGCTTGCTCGACACCTTGCTGAGGTACGCTGGTGAAAAATGGATGATCAGTCAATATGATACCATTGAGAAAATAAACTGAACTGTTCAGAAAGTGAAATACAAAGTGCAATAATTTTTTTTTTTATAACACTGGACAAACGAGCTAGCGGCTCACTTGCTGGTAAGTGATTACCGCCGCCCATGAGTACCCGCAACACCAGGGGAATTGCAAGTACGTTGTCGGCCTTTTAAAAAGGAATAAGCTCTTTTCTTGAAGGTTTCAATATCGTATCGGTTCGGAAATACCATTGCTGGAAGGTGATTCCACAATGTGGTTGTGCGAAGCAAAACGTTTCTAGAAAACTGCACTGTGGAAGACCGCCATTCATCCAGATGATCAGGATGGTATTTCAGTTTCTGGCGGGTGGTACGGTGGTGAAACTCAGCAGCTGGTATTAATCCGTACAATTCCTCAGAACACTTCCCGTGATATAATTAAGGGTATTCATAAAACTTCTGAATGAAAGTTACAAGTAGTAACTTCTCATCATCTGCTTCTTCCTTATACCATTTATTTGGGGTCGGCGTAATATGTTTTTCTCTTCCATTCATCCCTGTTCGCAGACATCACATCTCATAAAAACGTCTGTAAGATGTCTATGTGTGTATATGGCTCTAATGTGCATAAATATGTAAATACGTTTAAGAGAGATAGAGACAGAGAGGGAGAAGAGAGGGAAATCTAGAGATAAGAGAGAAAAAAAACAATCAAATTTATTGCCAGTACTTCTCAATTGAATCTGTATACTGAACTGGATGGTAAAGAAAATAATATTAATATAAAAACTCGATGTACATACGCGGCTAAAATGTCCTACATGAATATATATTTTTTTATTTGATATGTGCATGTATAAGCATTGTACGCTACTAGCTACAGTTTGTCTTCCAAATTATCGCTCTCAGGAATCACTGTTCTTACTCGACGTTCACAGCTTAATGTCCTCACGACGCCAGCAGTGTGCGTTAGAGACGACATACTACTTCTATCTCTTTCCCACATATATAGTTGTATGTAGTTTGACTGACCTTGAAACGGAATAAACATCAAAAGAAACGCCACGCCTATAAGCGCAGAGACCCCAATCTGCCGGTACATGAGGTAGATAATCAGGGTACTCTCTATTGGCGTCTTCACCAGATCTACCATGAACAGCGAGGCCATGTCGAACCTCTGGGCGTCTGTGGTCAGCAGGTTGATCACGTGACCTGCCAGACCCTCGGACGCCTTGCCACCGACCGTCAGGTCCAGTCGAAGAAGCTGCGAAGGAATTATTATTGACGATATTAATTAAAACTAGCTGTTACTCACGACTTCGTTCACGTGGAAATGACCTTTTCTTTATCTTTACACTGTCTGTTCGCTTATATCTTTTAAATTAAGGATCGGATTTTAAATCAGTTTTCAGCAATAGAACAAGCCTAAAAATTCAAAAGTCGTGACGAGTCGCTAGTTAATACATAAAAACAATTTCTAAAATGTCTAAAATAATAAAAGTAGCCTGAGTTAGTCCGTATCGTCGTTTCAGAGATTAGCAAGAACAAACAAACCGACAAATAATTTAAATTAATTTTTCATGTAAGTCTTTACATTAGGTGTAGTCCCATCAACATCGGTGCAGTCGTTTCAGAGATTGGCAAGAACAAACAGACACACATTTTTTTGTCAGAGCCTACATATGCATTTAGAGAAAAGCTGTTATCTTTAAATTACAAACAGACAGTAGTGACCAACCTTTCTGTATATTAGCGATGAACACCCAATCCTGATTTTCAATGCCAGCTCTAATAACCACAGCAACATAGGGTGCAACATTGCAGCGTTAATAGCCATTAAACTGAAATATAAAATATGTAGTTTAGTAAACAGCCCAGCCTGATGGTAACCAGTATAGATCTTAATCCTATGTGGCCACTAATCCACCTTATTAATTTTGGTCATTTTTTGTCCGTCTTAGGAATAGTACTGAATTTTTTTTATGTGAGAATTTTACGAGTTAGTTCTTTAAATCTATACTTATATTATAATGTAGTAATATTTCTAATTGGAATGGCAAACAAAATAATGACTGATGGTAAGCGGTAACTATTTTTTTTTATTGGATTATTTTGGAAAGATGCATCTGTTTACGTTAACTGTATATCCTGGGAGAGCACCAGTGGAAGATCATAAGATGAACATGAGGTCAGTTAGCACGTCGTGACAAATTCACTAGGAATTTCTAACAATGTTTTCCATGGGTGATCCGCGTGGAGGTCAACCTAACATGGTATATTGCTGGCAATGAGGTAATCCGTTTTTGACATTTGGCACATTACTAATAATCCCCCAGCGGTAATCATTGGCTACATAGTAGATATGCACATAGGACCGTCTTTCACCTATAAAAGGCCCTGGGCACATATAATGAGGCCCCTATGACCATAGTAATAAAGCACTATTTTGTTAGAATAGACAGTCATTTTTGAACATAACTCTATAGAGATGTATAAAAGTCGTTATGTGATTTCAAATTATACATTTATAAAAAAAATTACAAAAACGAACAAATTGACCATAGACAGAAAACATTTGTTATGACTGATTTTCAGGGGAGTACAGTAGCTGTCAGTTATCGTTTGGTAATGGAGTAGAGACTAGACTAGACTACGGGGCTCAATCCATTGCGGGGCCCTGGGCACGTGCCCAGTGTTCCCTGGAAGAGGGGCCTGCATGAATACCACTACAACATAACATTATTTTGTTACACCTGTGATTCCATTCATGCGTTGCCATATGATACTGTAGGTGTGTCTACTGTGATGTGTAGGAGTACTAGTACTAGGATGTCACGCCTCTTATACTATCACTGCCTAATCTATCTATATATATACAACCGCTACACAGCTTACTAAACAAGCTACGTACCGGCAGAAATAGGTGAGACTAACAGCAAACAACATACAAAATCTACTAAATCTACTACTGGTACAACTTGTGACAATATATTTCGTGTCTACAACAATGATTGAAATAACGAAACTCACCCTACTACACCGGCCGCGTACATATAGGCTTGTCTGTCTGTAACGCCAGAGTGAGACGGTGAGAAGTATCGTATTAAACCTTCCAAGCACACTGGTATTAATAATCTGAAAACGATAATGGTGGTATTAATAAATCTGAAAATTAATATTTTTTTAATACAACACCCCAACCAATGCAAATAATTGTATAATCGTACGGTTTCCTTTACGTCCGTATCGACGACCTCGACTTGGTCTAGTCAGGGAGAGACACATCAATCCTACAATATTCACAATTACCTATCTCTTATTTGTTTTTATAATAATTAACACACAACTTTTTTACGTCCGATGTTCAATCATCCGTCATCCACTTGCGGGTTCTGACGTTCCGTTTCAGGTTACATGATTATTGACTTTACCATTTTTAATTAATGGTGCGTCACACGAATCATTTGTATTCATAAGTATGATTGTTTGTATCAGTCTGGGTGTTTTCTATGAATAATATGTATGTATTTACAAAAAAAATATCTATGTATATATATCAGTTATCTAGTACCCACAACACAAGCTTTAGCTAGCTTAACTTGGGGTCTAGATGGCGCTGTGTGAATTGTCCTGAAATTATTATTGTTATTGTACTCATAAATACAAATGTTTGCAACGTGCGGGGAATCGAATCCACGAGCATCGGATATAGGGCGGTGTACTAAACCTCTAGACTTGGATAGTCTAGAGGTTTAGTAAATACAAGCCGTTAAATTACAAGCACTTTTGAATAGGATTATTTTGTACTAGTTGCGCCCGCGCTTTCACCCGCATTAAATTTCAATATAAAATATAGCCTTTGTGTTATTCTGATGCATAAGCGACATTACTGAAAACTTTCAAAATCCGTTCAGTAATTTTTGAGTGAAAGAGTAACAAACATCTATACTTAGAAACTTTCGCGTTTATAATATTATATATTGAGATTAAGATTCTCATTTGGTACATAGTTTCAGTCAAGACAAATTAGTAATAAAAAAAGTCATACCTGGTGCCACTCTCGAAACATGCGAATATAATGTTGAGCAAGAAAAACCGCAACCCATGGGTTTTAAGTATCGTCCGTAGCAACGACGGCTTGTTTACTTTGTCTGAAATTGCAAAAGCAAACATTTATTAATGAGCCTTTTTTGAAAATCTACCAAAGGAACCTCTATCACACCATTTCCGACAACCGTAAAGCGGTTTCTTTAAGAACTGTGTGGTTTAGATAGATAGACAGATAAGCTTTTTATTTGTGTCTTAATACACACATATAGATTCAATTACAATTATATGCAGTAAACGCTGGTGGGGCACAAATAGTATTACTAGTACCTACTGTTTCAAAATATGTAATATCAAACCACTGAGTCTCATAAATGTGACCAACTGTGATAAGCCATCTTTGACAGTTTGTCACATTTGGTCACACAGGGCTGAAAGAACACTAAATTTTATTTTATTACTACGTTACTTTATTACATTGTATAAAACAAAGTCGCTGTCGCTGTCTGTCCGTCACTATGAATGTTTAAATCTTTAAAACTACGCAAAGGATTTTGAATTGTTTTTTTTTTAATAGATAGAGTGATTCAAGAGGAAGGTTTATATGTGTAATACATGTACACCCGGGCAAAGCCAGGACAAGTAGCTAGTAACTTAAAAAAATATTTAAAAAAATTAACAATGCTACAATTATCTGTTTGTCTATTTTAAATCATTAGAAGACATTTTCTTGACTTTCACTTATCATTTCATCAAGTAGGCGTTAAGTGCTTAATAATTTTATGGTCCTGATATGACATATCATTTTATTACAAAATAAATAGATCACAGATAAAAATAGGTAACGTTAAACACTGACTTCGAGTTACAAATAACTATTTGCAAAATTGCGACTTCATTTAATGTTTAAATGAAAACGTGTCAGAGGTATTAAAGATTAAATGTATTATTATACATTTCTTATAAGTTCATGTTTATCAATTATTTTTTTAATTACTATTGTTTTGGAAAATACGTCATACCTGTCACTGACGTCCCACTTATAGGACTATCCATAAATTACGCAATAAGTACTAATTTCATGATTTTTACTCTCCCCCGTCCTTGTCACAGTTGGTCACATATTTTGCAGTAATGTTATAAATATTATAGAAACATGTTTAGGTCGTCCGTTCAAATTTCGTGTTTAAAATTAAGTTTTCCGCCTTTCCAACTCCCGCCATTTTGTCACACAATGTCACACTTTGCTTAAAGTATGACGTTGTTGGAAGTTTGTAACAGACTACAGTCGAAATACATGTATGTATATGACATAAATGATCACAGACATAAAGTAAGCAAATTACTTAAGAAAAGTATGCAGAACGCAGCAATTAACGTGTGCAATTATATTTGTAGTATAAATACATTCTTACCTGCTTTATTTAGTTCTTTGGCCCATTTCTCATACATAACATCGCCACGCGGTGTTGCTCGATGATCTGCTATACATCTGACAAAATAAAAAAATACAATAAATAACATATAGTCGAATTGAGAACCTCCTCCTTGTATGAAGTCGGTTAAAAGCTACAAATTCCTTCACAATTTTTATTAAGTTCTATATATAGTTGTTGAAGCCTCCTATGTATAAAATAAATATCAATGTGTAATAAAGATTTGCCAGAGGTAGAATTTATATAACTTTTTTTCTTAACTACACTAACGCTGTTGGTCGCAGCTGGCCTTTACAGCTTCACCGGAAGATAGGGAGCGAGTATAGATGGCACTTTAAACCCGCAGTAGGACATATAGAGCGGCTGAAGGCCAACTCCCGTTTGACAGATACCACTTTAGTCCGAGGGCACCGCTAGGGGTTCGAACCTCGTTCGCTCAGGCCGTAATTTCGAACCCAGTTCGAATTGAACGGGGGATCGATGGGACGTATATTTATATAAAGTAGATGACTTTATATAAATATACGTCCATATGCATGGGAATGTACCATATTTAAACCATGCACGGTTTATTATTGGATATGGATTACGGAGGACAACATCTGATCATCATACTTAAATCTAGTACTTTCGAATTTACATGTTATTACGTCATTATTACATTGTACATTTTGATATTAATCATATAAATACTTTATACCTTATACATTTTAAATAAATATTTTAATAACTGTTTCACTGCAAATACGTTATTAAAGTATTGATGTAAGTAAGTATGTGTCGTATTGAAAAATATAATGAGCCAAAATAATTAAAAATACTATCCAAATTATTATAGGATACACTATTCCACGCGGACGAAGTCGTAGGCACAGCTAGTTAATAATAAGAATTTATAAAATTACTTATTAATAATAAGAATCGATCGAATTTATAAAAATCGGGATCCACCGAAACTTACCTATATGCATCCGATATGCTGAGCTGGCCTTTGCGACCTTTCAGAAATATGGGCCAAGTGTACCTGTAAGGTAAATTAATTTTAATGTGTGACCATACAATGATAGGACTGTGTGAAAGATGATATGGTAAGAAAGGAAGTAAATAACGCGATGACTGCGAACAGGGATGAATGGAAGCGAAAAACATATTACGCCGACCACAAATAAATGGGATAAGGAAGAAGCAGATGATGATGATAGAATGTTCCTGTCTGCGCTAACACTATACGCTAATGGGCCGCCAATGGGGAAGGAGACCATGAAAATGAAGTCATTGGTTACCCAGTGATTTCCAATGAGAACCGCGTGTAGATCCATCTGACATGGTACACTGCCAGCAATGGAGTTATTAGTCCATATTTCTAACAATGCTCTCCCGGGGAGAAAGGGATAGGAATAATGTGGACTCTCGACCCCAGTGCTAGCAATGTACCATGTCAGGTTGACCTCCACGCGGTTTCCCCTGGAAACCATGGATGGGCTAACTGACCTGACCTCATTCTCATCTTATCATCTTCCACTGGTGCCCAGCCAGCGTAAACCGTTAGCGCAGGCGGGTGTACCTATTCATTATCATATCCAAAAAAAACCAATGCTTTCCCCTCATGATGATTGGGTTAACCATTAAACAGTCAAAAGAAACGAAATCAATTTCACAATTAAAATATATATTACGCAGGGATACGATTTGTAAAGGTTAGGTATGAATTCACCATAACGGTTACAGATGGACAGTCATCTTGACAGGCTACATTACTAGGACTGTGGCTAGTGTGCCCCCTGGTGCCCTCGGGACACCAGGGGGCGGTGCCTTCCGCCGGAATGGAAAATGCGTTCCGCCCCTCCAACTATAGCCTTCCGCCTGGTGGGAAGGCTTTAGGTGGGGGGCGGAAGGTGCATTTTCCACCCGGCGGAAGGCTATAGATGGGCGGCGGAAAGTGCAGTTTCCATCCGGCGGAAGGCTACAGGTGGGGGGCGGAAGGTGTATTTTCCATTCAAAACCCTAAATTGGACACTCGGAGCGGAGGATGAAGCTACAGGTGGGGAGCGGAAGGTGCAGTTTCCACCCGGCGTAAGGCTACAGGTGGGGGGCGGAAGGTGCAGTTTCCACCCGGCGGAAGGCTACAGGTGGGGGGCGGAAGGTGTATTTTCCATTCGAAGCCCTATATTGGACACTTGGAGCGGAGGATGAGGCTATAGGTGGGGAGCGGAAGATGCAGTTTCCACCCGGCGGAAGGCTACAGGTTGGGGGCGGAAGGTGTATTTTCCATTCAAAGCCCTAAATTGGACGCTCGGAGCGGAGGATGTAGGAGATACCGAAGTTCCCAGGAGGCGAGTGATCGGTGGAGCGGTCGCGGAGTGGTCCCCGCTTCACTAGAGATCCTGGGCCGGACTGCGAACTATGCATATGGGAACCTGCACGAAGGCGACTTTCGTGGTTTCGGAGGAACACCGAGAGGTTTTGGCGGGTAAGAGTCCCACAGTATCCGTTCGCACTCCTTCATAAAGAAACAAAAAAAGGACTGGGAACAGTAGTTTCCCATTACTGACAATCCTATTTCTCTAGGTAATTAATATTCATACTAAAATTGCAAAGTTTGTCAGGTTGTAGGTAATCTAAAGAATAGACGTACAGAAAACACATCTTGGTAAAAATAGTGGCCGTCTCCCTGGGATTTCTTTTCTTCTCTGTATCAAAATAGCCTGGATCCATTGTTGATTCTTATATTACTTTTTGGCACTTTCTAATATATTATTTTAAAAATATCACTTTATTTAAGTACACTGTGTATTATAGCTTCAATTTACTTAAGTCTTCCAGTTCTCAAATCTGAAACAAACGTACAATCACTTAGTCAAAGTTGTCTATCTAAACATATAAATAAAATTGGAGTGTCTGTATGTAATATTGAAATAACCGTTTTTTACTACATGCATATGAATATAAATACGAATACATATACCAAAAAAAAACACTTTTTACAATTTTTGTCTGTCGGCCTGTTTGTTCCTAATGTTGTGCTAATCTCTGAAATGGCTAGACCGATTTTGACGGGACTTTAATCTTTTTTTTAGCTACCTGCCAAGCTGATGTAATAAGGAGTAACTTAAGCTATTTTAATTTTAGAAAAATAAAGTTTAATTACACGCGGACGAAGTTGCGGGTGCAGCTAGTACATTATAACATTGTTACTTTTTGTTAACTCTAAACATTGTATGATTTTATTTTATTTTGTACTAACTACTTCTCCTGTAGGTACATGTATTATACATATAAGCCTTCCTCTTGAATCATTCTATCTATTAAAAATTTTGCTTCAAAATCCGTTGTGTAGTTTTCAAAATTTAAGCATACAAAGGTACGGACTGACAGCAAGATCGACTTTGTTTTATACTATGTAATGGTGTTTGAGGATCGTGTTTTAATCAATCTATATCATATCCACATTAGATTGGGTGGGTGGTGATTTGTATTACAGGTTATAGTTGTAGTTTAAAACTTAACTTAATATGCTATCGTAGTCGTCGATCTCATATTGTATTATTTTACTGATAAAGGCTACAACAGAATAGCAGAGAGGGTGGACTCACTGCCCTCACTGAGTTATAGACTTTTTGTCTCATTCATTAGTTTTAAATTATATTATTGTATGGGCAACAGTTGTATTGTGTGAAAAGTTTTTGTTTGAGACAAATAAAGATTATTATTATTATTTCCACCGTTTCACAATATATGTATTAGCCCAAGAATCCACGACGGCCAGACATACGTCATATTATCATCATCTGCTTCTTCCTTATCCCATTTATTTGGGGTCGGCGTAATATGTTTTTCTCTTCCATTCATCTCTGTTTGCAGTCATTCCGTTATTTACTCCCTTTCTCACCATATCATCTTTCACACAGTCCATCCATCTCTTTTTCGGTCTTCCTCTACCTTTATAACCATCCACATTCATATGTAACACCGTCCTTAGGATATGATCTTCATTCCTACGCATTACATGCCTATACCACGATACACGACATCTCTGACATCGGTGCCACTTTCATACTTCCTCTGATGTATTCATTCTTTATCTTGTCTATCCTCGTCACACCACACATCCATCTCAACATTCGCATTTCAGTTGCATGCAGTCGTCTCTCATCCGTCGCCTTTATGGACCAGCACTCTGATCCATACAAAATACGTCATATTAGTAAACGTGAAAGTTCTTGTATGTGTGTCCCCAACACAGGTAAGAACGATCCCCAAACATGAAACCTGGATCGTGGTTCCTTTAGAAGGTAACACATTTCATATCAAATTCGTATGTCTGGCCGTCGTGGGCTCTTGCTCTATATGGGTTATTTTATAGTGATCACAAGGACGGGCTTATATCACCAAGTCACATGTTTACACAATTGTATTTTTAAATATTGTTTACTGGGCTGTAAAAATTTAAAAATTTCCTAACTATTGAACACGTATGTAATACAGTGGATTTCTGTAGTTCAATGTAGCTAAATTTCCTTAATTTCAGTTGATGTAATGACGAATGCAATGATTTTGGGATCATTCCAGTGGATTATATAATAATAGGGATAATTATTATTATTATTTCTTTATATATATATTATATATCTCCCTTTGATGGGGTAATAGACTGATCATTGCGGGTAAAAATTATTATTATACCTATACAAAGAGTATATAAGATATACAAAGAGGAAACACCACTGCACATCCTATGTGGTTTTAGTCCACTAATGCATAAGCTAAATATCTCCTTTGACAATAACTTGAAACATTGGTACGTTGCTAGCAATAGGGTCATTAGTCCACATAACTATCCCCATGCCCCAGACATTATTGGCTAACTGATAAGAAATCGATGCAAACACAATTGAAGTACCAAATGAGGGATCAATACGAACGGATGAGTTCATACAAACTGAACTGGGTCATACATCAATTGACAGTCATTGTTACACGGTTATCATTTAAAGATAATTAAGTGCATAGTTTATATGCACAAATGCATACTAACTATCCATATTTTGATACTAATATGATAAATATAAAATGTGTCTGTCTATCTGAAACCTTTTAACTACTAAACGGTTGAGAAGGACTTTTCCAAGAATAGTCATAGAATAATTGACTGCCTCGGTGGTCTAGCGGTTTAGCACATCGGCTTAGTTGCGATGGTCGCGGGTTCGATTCTCCGAACGGCACAAACATTTAAATTCAAGAGTAAGTATGATTGTATCGGTCTGTGTGTTTTCTATGTATAATATGTATGTATTTATGATAAAAAAATTATCTATGTATTTGTATCAGTTATCTAGTAAATTCACTAGGAATTTATCACGAATCACGATGGTTTCCAGGAGGAACCACGTGGAGGTTGACCTAACATGTATGCGTAGGAATGAAGAGAATATTTTAAAGAAAATGTTACATTTGTATTTTATGTGTAAATGTGTATTTATGTGTATAGAGAGATGTAAATATTAGTATTATAAAATATACGCTATACCTATTTTGCCAACAAACTGTTCTGCAGTTTGGCAAGTCACGCATTAGTAATAAATGTACGTATATTCTATACATATAATCTACATCTTTACATAGAAATAAAATTGGAGTGTCTGTTTGTAATATTGAAATAACAGTTTTTTACAACATACATGCATATCAATATAAATGAATATAAATACGGTACATACACCAAAATAACATTTTTTACAATTTTTGTCGGTCTGTCTGTCTGTATGTTTGTTCCTTTTATCTCTAAAATGGCTGGACCGATTTTGACGGGACTTATTGGCAGGTAGCTGATGTAATAAGGAGTAACTTAGGCTACTTTTATTTTAGAAAAATAAAGTTAAATTCCACGCAGACTAAGTCGCGTAGTTAATAAATAAATATATGATTGTGAATGGTTATAAGAGCAAAGAAAGACTGAAAAAGAGATGGTTGAACTGTGTGAAAGATGACATAAGAAAGGACTGAGTAATGAGATGACTGCGAACAGGGATGAATGGGAAAGAAAAATATATTCCGCCGATTGAATGGGATAAGGAAGATGCAGCTGATGATGATAATCTCTAGTCGTAAATGATTATTATTCTGAAGATTTCACGGGAACAGGAAATTAAATAATTTTATTTTTTACAGCCTTTACAACAAACATCCACACTTTCAGCTATTTAAAACCAATAGGATCATTTTGTTAACATTCCAGACTCAATAAGGGTCATTGTATTTTATCCAGACGTTTTTATACATTCTAGACTCACACTGGAAGCCTTGCCTCGACGTGCAATCGATAATGACCTTTGGGAGCAGTGCGTGACCTATTTGGATGAACAATTTTCGGCGACGGAGGGTGCGTCTTTGCTATGACTTATTCTTACATCGTATATAATACTGATACTAGTTGACTCGCGCAACTTCGTCTGCATTTCATTTTTCCACCTTTTGCAATATTTTTCATTGCAGCTCCGCTCCTATTGGTCGTAGCGTAATGTCATATAGCCCACCTGGGGGAAAGGGGCTTGTTAGTAATGTGGACTCATGACACCATTACTAGCAATGTACCATGTGAGGTTGACTTCCACGCGGTTCCCCCTAGAAATCATCATAATAAATTCCTGGTGAATTTGTCACAATGGGCTAACCGACCTGACCTCATGTTCATCTTTTCACCTTCCACTGGTCCCCCGCTAGCGTAAACCGTTAGTGCAGGTGCACCATTCCATTATCATCCATAAAAAATATATAAAATATACAAATGGACTATGCAACACAAAAATATTTTTTCATTCCGAACCAGTAGTTCCTGAGATTAGCGCGTTCAAAGAAACAAACTCTTCAGCTTAGCTTATAATATTAGTATACAAAGGTATGGTATGTTAGACTCCATTCTCCGCAATTAGCCTCACATTCGGGCCGTTGTGCGTGTATATATATACAAAGGTATATAAATGCTCATAATTTATATTAATTTATACATTGTATTGTACACAGAGCTACACAAATAATCATAATGTATGTTAATTTATACCTAGTAAAAAAATCGTTATTATTGTCTTGTCGCAATCTGCTCATGCATTTATAGAAAAGTGGTTTACAAAATTATATCATATCGAAATTTCCTACTACATCTGAAATTACACTGTATAAAACAAAGTCGCTGTCCCTATGTATGCTTAAATCTTTAAAACTACGCAACGGATTTTGAAGCGGTTACTTTTAATAGATAGATTGATTCAAGAAGAAGGTTTTATATATAATACATTTACACCCGGGCGAAGCCGGGGCGAGTAGATTATATATAGTACTCCTTATATATGCTACTTTATATATGCTATACTACTGCAATATATTGCATACATAGTAGTGTGTGTAGTGTATTTTTATTCATAAGTAGCTGTCCCGGCAAACGTTGTTTTGCCATATAAATTAATAACGCTATAAAAATACGGGTTGGTGATAGAAGGGTGAAAATTTAGGCTTGTATGTATTTTAATGGCACATAATAAAACCATATATGTAAATAAACGATTATGCCCAAAAATAAAAAAATAATGTTAGGGACAACCCTTATCACTTAGGGGTGAGAAAAATATATAGTAGCCGATTCTCAGACCTAATGAATATGCATATAAAACTTCATAAAAATCGGTCAAGCCGTTTCAGAGGAGTATGGTAACTAATATTGTGACAAAAGAATTTTATATATAAGAAGATTAGGCAACATTTCATACTCCTTCGTCCGTCTGCAATTTTCCTAAAAAGGGGTACAAAGTTTTTGCTTCTCGTTTACATAAATTAACATC